TTTTTGGCGGGATCGGAAAGCGTCACTTCAGCAGTTTTGTTATTCTTGTTAAAAATTGTGTTGTGGCGGATGTTAGTGTCTAATAATGGTGGATTATTAACCACTAAGTGTTCGGGAACATGCACAAGTGTTGGCAAGTGAAACAAAATAGCGGAAAGTGTCTTTCGACGTTCCCTCAAGAAGTCCACGGGGAGGTTCCAGTAAATCCCCACACATTTACTGCAACATAGGGAAAGGGGGATTGACTTGACTGCCACTTAATTTGACTTGATTTGTTACTTTAACCACGGGTGCTATAGATTTTTTAAGCATTTTTAACATTTGACATTGGCTAAATGCATAAGCCGTGCGAAGCCATTTAGGAAAAAAAAATTTAAAGATTCTAAGTTCGCGAGAAGTACCCTGTAGGTTTTGATTCCCGTGCGAGTATCGAATATTTGCGGCATAAAAATTTAGGGTGTTAAAATATATATTTGTTCCTTAGGTTTTCACGCACATCACTCATTAAATAAAACTAGTTTTTAAGGGTTAATGCACGAAACTTTATTATTTATTGACGTTTCGCAGCCTTTTCAGGTCTGACGTTATTCTGACGATGCAGACCTGAAAAGGCTGCGAAACGTCAATAAATAATAAAGTTTCGTGCATTAACCCTTAAAAACTAGTTTGGTTAAAATATAGTTTTATAGAAGTTTATAGCCAACTTTATAAAACTTAGAGATATCTCTTAATTTTATTAATATGACTGGACTATTAACCGTATGCACAAGTCGAAAAAGCTGTACGTAGTGCAAAATTAAGTTAACATTGGTACCTACATTACATATGAAGCATTTCAACCTTTTGAGGCATTTCAACTTTCCAAAACTTAGATTTGATTTACAGATGTAAATACAAATAGCTTTAGTTTTACAGTAACTACCGTTTTAATTAAAGCCTATTTTCAATGTCATCTTTTATATAGAAATGAAGTTAACAATAGTCATATATTAAAAACTTGCTGATTAAACTGCTTTTTAGGTTTCCGTACCTCGAAAGGAAAAAACGGGACCCTTATTAGATGATTTTTTTGTCCGTCGGTCCGTCTGTCAAGACCCTTTTTCTCAGGAACGCGTGAAGCTGAAATTTTTACGTATCAAGCTGAAATTTTTACTCAGGACGGTCCCGCGGTTTCGCACTAAGCAGCTTAGAGGGTATTCGCAGGATTTACGCCACCAGTACGCCGTTAAGCGTGCTCGTAAATGGCGCGGGTTACTTTGGGGGTTAGCCCCATCGTGGCCATGATGTTTGCGAGTGCTGTGTATGAGGTCCGTTCGACGGTGTGCCTCTTAAAGGCGCCGTCGTCTGAAACAGAGGTTTTGCTTGCGTCACAAAAAAAAGTTCTATACCCAGGTTTACTGCCCCTTGGAGCTGTGAAAAAACAAATTTCTAAGCCAACGCAATCAAAGGATACAGCCGTTTTTGCCGCAAATTTTCGAAACTCGCAAGGGAATCAAAACCTACAGGGTACTTCCGGTGAACTCAGAATATTGAAATTTGATACGAAGCAACGTCTTCTGGCACAGGTAAAGGAAATATTACGGAACCCTCAGTGCGCGAGTTCGACTCGCACTTGGCCGGTTTTTGCATTACTGTTATATTAAGTGACTAATGGCCCGCCCTCGCTTTGCTTCGGTGTAGAGCTGTGGTGTAGACTATAGTTTTTGTTCAAAGGCTTGTATTATATACAATGTCTTTCTTCATAATAATTATAAACCTTCCATTCCAAGTAAAGAATTCGATGCGTAGTTTAGGACCCGTTGTACCGAATGCAACATTGCTCTGCTGTTCCGATTTGAAAAATTCATTTTGTATTGGACAGTGCAAAATTTTTTCAAAAACGGGTAAAGATATTGCGTTTTTATGATTCCGTTGCGTGTGCTGGGTAAACGGTTAAAGTTGCACAAAATCATGTATGACGGAATTCTTCCCCTTTAAAAGTCCACGACAGCCTATGTCGATATTTTAAGTTTGACTCACTATAAACTTTTTTCTTTAAATTAACGCGGGTTAAACTGCAGATGACCTCTAGTTGTGACATAACTGTAATAGTTAGAAATAAGGTATCGCGGACTTTTTTGTAGATATTGGTATCCTCTATAAAACTTTAGTACATCACTTTGCTCTATTGTCTATGCCTTCCGCAGCGTATGCGATATAAGGCTATATTTTGATATTTTTTACACACGGGTTACATAATCCATGTTTTCATACGGAACCCTAACTGTAGCATTCAATGGTTAAAGATTTTTAAAATCGGTCCAATACTTTTTGAGCCAATTCGTTACAAACATACTTACATACAAATCTTTCCTTTTTATAATATTAGTATAGATATAGATAATGCTAGACGTTGGTGCACACAATTGAGATAAACAGTTACCCGAATCGGGCATGCAATAAACATTTCTACAAATGATTATTGAAATATTCCTTTAGATTATATGATCCATTACATATTAACCATTGCTTCATGACCTTACAAACTTAAGGTAGTAAAGACGTTAAACAGATAAGGCGTTAAATTATTATATATTCGTAATACAAGTTTTTTTTTCGAAAATTGTATGAATTTGATCGAGGTAAATGTGATTTTATATATGAAACTCAAAGGTGACTGACTGACATAGTGATCTATCAACGCACAGCCCAAACCACTGGACGGACCGGGCTGAAATTTGGCATGCAGGTAGATGTTATGACGTAGGCATCCGCTAAGAAAGGATTTTGATCAATTCTACCCCCAAGGGGATAAAATAGGGAATGAAAGTTTGTATGAAACTTTGTCAATTTTAAACCGATCGGGCTGAGACTTTGCATGCAGGTATAAGAAGAATCATAGATGAATGTCATTGTGAATAATACAAGCCTGAGAAGAAAAACTGTAGTCTACACCGAAGCGAAGCGAGGGCGGGCCGCTAGTATCTCATAGAGGTTATTCTAGCCCTCTTTTCAGAAGTCTTAAGAAAACTTCTTTATTCTATTCTTGAAAACTTCTTATTTTATTGAAGAATTGCACATCGTTATAATAAAATGTATTTCAGTGCTCTTTTGTACCTATTAAAACAGAATTTATTTTTTGATAACATAAGGATAAACTTGATTAACCTGAGGACTAATGATGCAAAATTTCCTGTTCACTTAGTAAAGTGAACATTAAACCTCATGGTAATAAGATTTAATTAACAGAGATAATAGAAAACAATAACATAAATAATACTACACACTAACTTAAATAACTTTAGTGTGTAATGACGTCTATTGTATCCAGCGTGGAAATGCTGCAAGCATAATGGGCACCTTTGCGCTAGGAACGACAAGGTGTAGATTTGCCGAAATTTAAATTCAGAGAAATATATGTAATTAAATAATTAATATAAATATAATCGATTTGATTGACAAGGTATATAATTAATAAATCAATGTATATAAATAAAGCGTATGCCTTAAACAGAGTAGTTCTGGGGGCCATTCGCCTAACGGAAATGCTTTAGAAAACGCTAACGCTTACGATTTCATTTTGTTATTTCTAGCCGCCTGCGGTTTTCAAATGCCTCGCGCTCTTTTTTTTTCTTTTGCATTGGTAATAACAATATTAAAAAAAATGAGCGCGAGGTATTTGAAAACCTTCGGCGGTCAGAAATAGCAAAATGATCTCGAAATCGTTAGCATTTTCCAAAGCATTTCCGTTAGGCGAATGGCCCCCTGCCTTTGGTGAATAATTGAAAATATTAAAAGTTTAGGTGTAAATATGACAAAGATACGAAAAAATCGCTTCTGTCTGCGTTTTTCTAACTGCATATATGCGTAACTGCGTGTGGGCGGAAAATCTGCTGCAGCAGCTGTATTCAATTTTGACTCCACCGCCACTTATGAGCCCTTTTACAAAATTGCACCGCTGCCGTACTGATCGGCGCGTAGGTAGATTTGCACTAGTATATATTGCATTTTACGGGTGATGTTTCGAGTCTTATAAAATGATTATTAATGAGCTAATTATAAAAATATATACATATTTCAGTAATTTAATGATGGATTAGTTGTATGAAAGTTTTTGATATTAATTCTATTTAATTCAATATCAAAATACGAGGTAAACCTGCATTATTTTTTTGGGTAAGCTCACGGAGGTTAGATGTTTTTTTGATAATTAATGATATGGAAAATCAAAATTCTAATACATTATGTTATAACAAAAACATATTTCTAATGTCGTGGTAATTAATTTGATTTTATTTATTGATCATTATTAAGAGATTGAGGCGTTTGAAATTGTGCATATCGTTTTTTCCGTAAACTAGCTGCGGTAGAACGATCAGTACAAAAAAAGGGAAATAGTATTTAAAAATATTTTTTTTTTTTTACACTCACACCAATTAGCCTAGCCCCAAAGTAAGCACTATAAGGCTTGTGTTATGGGATGCTAGGGTAACGGACAGAATACATATACTGTACATATATAAGTATATTTATATAAATACATATTAAACATCCATGACTGGAGTACAAATGCTCGTATTCATCACACAAACATCTGCCCCCACCGGGATTCGAACCCGGGACCTCTCGAGTCGGTGACAGCCATGAAACCCGGCGTACAAACCACTCGGCCACGGAGGTCGCCATTTAATTAATTTATTGTAAGTTAATATTCTACATTAACTTACAATAGGAAGAATAAATCTACTGTTTACTTCTATTGGAAATAGTCAAAATCTTATCTAAGGGGATAAACGAGGCGCTCAAAAATTACGATTTATTGCAAAAAATGTGAAAGGGCTCTTAACATTGGCAAACACATATTTAAATGATGATCAAAAAATTAAACAATTTTACAAAAATACAATTAGGACATAGTCCCCTGTGCTTCATTACGTTCCTACCATAATAAATGATAATACATTAAAGTAATAAATTTTATAAATGTTTAGAGGCGCTTTAATTTACAATATTATATACAGGAAGTGATAACGACCAATAACAGTTTTCAAGTCGGTGTCGAACGAATAACCACATTGTTTGTGCATCGCTTAACCATAAACCATGTTAACAAGAACATTGAAAAAATGGAATCGAAAATAATGATTGTCGTTTTTATGGTTGTTTTGTGTGCTGAAGTTGTGTTGAGCATGGAAGATGGACTTAAAGAGGGGGCTACTGGAGTATGCACAGAAATTGTTAGGTGGGCAACTGAGTTATTATTTTATTAACCACAATTTTCACTGTTTCAAAATGTAAAAAGTTATTTCTATTTATGTAACTGTTTTTAACCAAATTTTGCATTTAACTGTTTAGGTTGTTAAAATGAATGGAGAAGTACCTTTATTTTTACTTAATCTTTTTCACAATGAATTGGAAATTCTAATTAGTTGGTATTGGTACAGTTCAGGCTTTAATAGTGGAATGGAGACACGCACGTTTATTCTTAATTAATTATAATTAGGACACTGTCAATTCTAAATAGTATGCAATAATATGACTCCCAATGTACAAAAGATAATTGATAAATGACATTACTTTGTACATAATTATTAATTCAAATAAATAATGACTTACAGAAATAATTCAATTGAGTAACGGTTTTTGCCTTAAATATTTAAGATGCTTTTAATCATGGGATCGTTTTTGTGGTATAAAGCGATGTTCTTTTATGTATTCGATTCAAATTGTAATTTGCGATAGCTGCTGTTTGTATGATTATCGTATTTCCTTCGGTGAATTATTCAATTCATTGCGGAAATTATGACGTATATCTAATCTTTATAATCTTTTGCTTTTTCAGTCAACAACAGTGGTTCAAAAAGACGTATGGATGTTCCAAGAAGGGAAAACGAATTTGTTCCAAAATGGAAGTCAAGGTAAGATGGAATTAAAATTAGTTAATTATCAAAATAGGATTTACGTGTTTACCGCTACGAAGCTAAAAATAGCTGAATTTCATATTTGTTTCGTACACCTATGACGAATTCATCTACCTTAGTACTAATAACCAAAATAATTATTAAAAATAACAAATGCAATTTTAAATATCAACAGTCGTTTCAGGAAAATAACAAAAGTTAAAGATTTTTGGAGTTTACTCCTTAAGAATCGATTTGCATATATAAGGGGCCCGGTATGAGAAAAATGTGAGGAGTAAAATCTATCGATGAATGACCGTCGTTACGGTTTTGGTGCGCAACCTATGTCGCGCAACTTTGACAAACAAAGATGACGGATTAACCTTAATAAATTTTTTAAAATCTGAACTGAATTTAGATATTGTTTCTGATAGAGCAATGGGGACAACGAGGTATGGTACAACCATTGATGCGGTATTTTCAAGATTCGTGAACCACGTATCTACGAACGTCCATGTGGCTTATTTTAGTTACCATAAACCACTTGTCACTGTAATCAATAATGCAGAAAATGTTGATTTAATTAATATTTAAAAAAATGATAATAGTCTGATAATAATAATTACATAATTTATCAACATTCCTAATGATATATTTACGCACATCTGAAATTGACTATTGTAAAAAGTTTAGTGTAAAATATTTCGTCGATTAGTTATAATAAATGTATATGAAATGAATAAATATATATTTATATATATATATATATATATATATATATATATATTATTTTCATTAATTTGTTAATTTACCCTTTCATACAGTATCAATCTTTTTTAAGTTAAATAAACTCTTTTTGCGTCTGGTTAGACTATCGAACTTAAGGAGTAAACTCAGGTCGTGCGTCGGAGCTGACACACATTTTTTTTTTAAATTAAGGGTTCAATATTTTCAGTTAGTATGCTGAATGAAACATTTCAATAGAAAAGTAACGTAAAAACTTATCCGCTTTGATTTGTATTAAAGAAAACTTCATTACAATAATTTCCTATTTTTAACTATTCAATTGGAACACTCAACGTAGGTAGAACATGATTTGGTAAGTTACTGGAATAATTTTATTTTCCCAGTTTGTGCCGACAAAGAAAAATATCTGTTGCGACGGATGGAAGTTCTATAATGGCCAATGCATACCCGAGGGCCCACTGTGCGAGACGCCTTGTGTTAATGCCGAATGTACTGGATACAATATTTGCACGTGCTACACAGGATATAAGTCTAAAACACAATTCCAATGCGAACCAGAATGTGGGAATTGCGAAAACGGCGTCTGCGTCGCTCCAAATAAATGTGAATGTAATTCTGGATATTATAACGTCGAAGATCTCAAATCTTACAATGAGAGTTCAAGTTGCAAACCTTATTGCACTTCTTGCAACAATGGAGAATGCATTGCACCTGATCTCTGCCGATGCAACGAAGGCTACGAGAGACACTACAATACTTGCGACCTAATACCGCTGTGAGTATTTCATTGTTTTGTAACTTATCATTTACGCGAATATCATGATTTTACTAAGGTCAGCCCCGGCTAGGCCGGGAGGCTGTTGGGTGCGAAGAAGCGGTAAAGTCCCTCAACGGGGATCTAGCGGTTCCGCTCTTAACAGCGTAGAGGGTATTCGCAGGGTGTTTTAGCGGATAGTGTGCCGCAAGAGCACGTAAGCAGCGCGGACTGCTTAACGGCTTTTCCGTTGCGCAACCCTGAGACTTGCGAGAGGCTAGGTGCGAGGTCCGTTCGTTGGTGTACCCCTTAAGGGCGCCAACGTCTGTTAATAGAGTTGTTGCCTGCGTAATAAAAAAAAGGTAAGACAGAACTTTAAGCGAAAACAAAAAAAATATTAATATTATGATGGTTTAAAAGGTTTATCCATCGAATAAACGAAGTGCTATTTGAAGTTATCTATAATCCTTTGTGAGTTATAGTCATGCTACTTTGGTTTAGGCGTCATCAGATTACATCAGCTATTTTCGGCTTTAGAAATCACTTAAAAATTAGCTTCAGGTAGTTTGCATTTTAGGTGTATACCTTTATAATAAAATAAATAAGTGTAAAGAAAATTTAACTAGAAAAAATCCACGTGGACCAGGCAAGGACTGAAAAGATTTTCTTCTAGTTATATTTTCTTTAGATTTTATTTAGACATCAAGCAATTACATGCTTAAAATTTTAAAATTATGACTATAAATAAGTGTCTTAATATTGAGGCATTAAATATGTATAAGAAAATGCAAACATAGAGTACAAAAATATATTCACAAATTAACGTATGATGAAACCGAGAACTTATTAAGCATTGTTTATTAGTTTATTTATACCCCATCTTTCCACTTTCACTCTACACACAGGAAGGTCTTTTCCATTATTTGTGTTTAATTCTTATTTCATACATAAATCATGAATGCAATAAATAATGTTGACAAATTATTAAGTAATATTCTTAATAGGGAAGAGCGCTGATGTCTGTAATACAGATAAATCAATTATCTAGTTCAGACTTGAATTGAAATGAAAATAATGTACCTATCTACCTGCATTGTTGTGGAACATCTGATTGTAAATTTTATGATATTCATTATTATAATCACTTATATCAGTATGGAGTCATTTATTAGACTAACTGTAAAATACATTAATATAAGACTTTGGGAATAGTCTCCCAAAGTTATTGGCAATATTTTGAACATTTTTCATACTGAAATGATTGATATTGAATTTATTTTAATTTATTTTTTAGAAGAAACTGCAAAGGCTGCGACGCCACATGTAATGAGAGCATTTGTGCGTGCGCAAATGGTACTATTTGTGAATCATCAACTGAGGAGGCCATCGTATCATCTTCTCCAACGTAAGCATAACCTATTTCAATATATTTGATTTCTTTAACAGATGCTTTATATTCAGGGTTTGTAGGGGTTAAGCAACTTTCACGAAGGCCGCGATTTATCGTATGGTTGACTGCCAATATTTTTTTATCTAGAACTCCACACGTTACCCTGAAGCCACGATAACCCTTTAGTACAGGCTACATCTGCAGTCAGTACCCACCACAATGCATTCAGTAGTACTTAGCTGTGTGGTCAGCTTGATGCCACACTCTACATGGCTATTCGTATTTGGTATTTGTGAACTCGATATATATATACTCTCTTTTAAATGGACAATGGACAACCTGCTACATGTGAAGTACCGGCATAATAATAAAACCCAATGTCGCAGCGGTGGGAAATAGCTAAATTGTTAAGCTCTTTAAATACTGGACTTGTTTATAATTATAAACAAAGAATCCACAAGTTTCTAATCAACCATGTCAAAAGTGAAGACTTGACTTATCCTTATACTACACACATCAAAAGTGTCTAGGGATCAACATATATTTTTGCAATAACTTTTCTCCTGATTGATATTAATTAAAATTTTCTTTAAGGATTCATCAAATAAAGTGTTTTCGTTTGTCACAGTAACGATAAACCAAGTCACCTTTGCATTAATAAAGAAATTTGCCATTTTCCTAATAAAGGGATTTTTGACATTTGAACCACTAACACAAAAGTTCGAAAAAAAGACTGAAATAACAGTTTTCTCTAAAATTTTATTGGGTAACTTAAACAATTAATAATCCGTATTTCTACCGCGAACACTAACAACACAAGAACATCGGTTTGGCATACTCAAAATGAGTTCATCCAAATCACGCTGTGGAATGGCCGCCCATGTTCGTTGCAATAACAAAAAAAGGTCTTCTTGCGACTGGATACCCTCCATATTCGGCAGAGCTCTTCTCTGTAGCATATCCCATGCATGCTCAATCGGGTTCAAGTCTGGCGACTGAGCAGGCCAGGGCAGGACATTGATGTTAGCTGCGGCGAGAGTCTGTCTTACAACTCTTGCGGTGTGCGGTCGTGCATTATCATGCATTAACTGAAATAAGGGACCGATTTGCACTTGTAGAGGAACGATGACGTCTGATACAATCGTCTCAGCATAAATTTGAGCGTTGAGGTTGCCTCTGATCCAAATCAACTCAGTTCTTCCGCCGATCCAAATACCCGCCCATACCATGATGGTTCCACCACTATAAGGATGGACTTCCTGGCAGGATTTTAATCGCTGTTGGCGTCCAGGGGTTCTCCAGTGTCGTATACGTCTTGTATCCGGTCTCATACCAAAACGAGACTCATCAGAAAAGCACACGAAACGCCATTGTTCTTCTGCCCAATTTCTGTGTTCAAGAGCCCATTGATATCGAATCCTACGATTGTGCATTGCTATAGGTGGTACCCGTAGCGGTCTTCGGGAATGAAGGTTCACTTCATGCAAGCGGTTTCTGACTGTTTGGTCGCTAATTAAGTTCCCTGAAGAGTGATGAAGCCTCACGGCTAACATCATGGCGGTTATTGTTGGAGCTCTTCGAGTTAAGATTTGAATGTATCGGTCTTGTCTCCGTGTGGTGCAGCGGTACCGTCCTCCATGGCGCTCAGCCACGGTACCAGTGCTTCGGTATCGTGTCCAAAGTCGACTGATAACACTCTGACTTGTATTCAGAGCTAAAGCCACAGTACGTTGCCGGGAACCAGCTTCTATCATTCCCACGGCTCTGAGCATTTCTTCCCTGCTTAAATGACGTCGCCGCTCCATAATAACGTTGGTTTTAATCAGTAGTAGGGAAACAGTAGCACTAATAATGTCTTCAATGCGTTGTATGTTTTTATAGGGAAAATATTGACAGCTGATTTTCATCTTTTACTCGAATTTGATTGTGAATCAAATGATGATGATTCAAATTATGAAATGCACCAAAAAGGATCCATATAAATTTATAAAATCATAAATTTATTACAAAGCCACATCTCAATCTCAAGAAATCCGCATAAAAATGCTTGATCCCTAGACACTTTTGATGTGTGTATTATAGGTGATGAAAAGCTTAATCTTTTTACTGGTGATATCTCTTCATCTTTTTTCCAATGAGTTTCAATTGTGACTGTGACGTTGTGCTTCTTAGTATTATTGAAACGAAGTTTCTTTTCTTGGCGGATATTAGGGCTAGGCGAAAAAAGTGTAAGAATTTTTTTGTCACAACCGTGAGCTGTTGTGTGTACTTGTGTATTATGAAGTAATTTTTGACTTCGTTTCAACGGAGTGTTCTCGACACTCGACGTTTGTTTTTTATGTATTCTGCGTAATTCTAATTTTTAACATCTGTAACGGCGATTATTTTTTACATAGAATATAAAGTTAATATTTACTGTAAAACAATGGGTCAAGTACTAGCACTTTAGTCCTTAAGTATGCATGCTTGGAATGCCCAAAATGTGTTCAAAAGTATTCATACACCATTCTGCACAATAAAAAAGGCACATTTCATTCACCTGAGTAACCCATAATCACTCTAAACGTTTTATTGTACTGACCCTGCGAGGCTATTTGCCTCTTTATATTCTACTGTATTTGTGATATATCTAATGAGAGAATGATGAAACAGTTAAACGGAACGATAATGGAAGGATTTAGAAGCCGAGGAAGGCTCAGACTCAAACCTATTATTATCAAATTGATCACATTTTGAGCCGCAAAAACCGGCGAGCGTGTATGAAAAGAGTATTGAATGTAAATGAAGTCAAAGATGTGTGTACATCTTACCGTGATGACCGTGTCTTGTGGCGCTCTATTCTCTCTGCCTACCCCACCCAGGACTAAGTTCCTTGCCCAGGACATAGCGTGAAGATAGATTAATACGTTTTGGTGATCAGGGTGTTGATTCTGCTACGTTACAGTAATAATAATGTGTCAATTGTGTTTCAGTGGTTTAGACAAAATTACAAATATATTTGCTTACTTATTTGTTATTTTGATCTATAAGCATTTATTATTTTATGTTTTAGTAATAAGAACTATGTTAAAAGTCGACTGAACCACTATTGAGACATGATTTTAACGTTAGCGTAGCAGAATCGGCACCCTGATGTCGATTGTTTATTAATGATTTTAGGTTGGCTGGTCTACAACTGACCTGGATGCTGGGTGGCACAATCGGGATTCTACTGCTCATCTTCGTATTGGTGATCATGCATCGCACATGGAGACAGAGGAAGAATTTCGAGCAAAAAGCTAGTGGCGATGACTGTAAGTATTTTGTTTTTTTTTTATATTACACCTACTCTATTAATAAATGAGGAATAAGCATAGATTAGTCAGCCGTGTTTTGTTCATATCCCTCAAGTATTATAACATTTAATAAACAAAGATAAAACATGGTTTGCAGGCTGTAAGTATACTGTTATAAATAAGAAGCTTGTTATCTGTCGATAGTACAGAGTTGTGAGCCATGAGCCTATATGTATAGGTTTTTATATCGGATGTTTAGTTCTTCCCTTTTGGCTTTGATATAATTAATCCATGTCAATCTCTTGTCAAGATGCACGCCCAGATATCGGACAGAGTCATTCTGAGGCAAGACGTTCCCCGCGAGCGTTACTAGTGGGCAATCGGTTTTGTCATAAACCAAATTGGTGGTTCGGTATTGCCTGATTTCCTAAAAGTATCGGGTTTATTCTTTGTAGTAGGATCCTTTCAAAAACTTTTGATAAGGTGACAAGAAGACTTATTGTTCTATGGGATGCGACTTTATCAGTTGGTTAGCCAGCCTTATGGATCATAATGATCTGATATACCATTAAAGAGGGCACTAGTGTACACCAGAGCTTTCCGCGGTAGTTGTATCAAAAAGTTCTTTTGTAATCAAATTAAAACCTGGAGCTTCCTTAGATTATTGGTTATTTATGATAATTGTAAGTTTCTTAATGGTGACTGGTTTTGGGGGAAGAGAAAGTTGAAGATCCCGATTTAGGACTCCGTCAATTTCATCCTCATCTTCATCGTTGCAACTTTGGTTTGGTAAACACTTTAGCTAGGTGTTTAGTAAATGCATCGGCTTTCTGTTTCCCTGTCCTTGCCCAAACCGTGGGAAAATTCTTAAGGGGAGTTTGGACTCCTGTGGTCTACTGAGCGATCTGGTCACCTTACAGAGTGAATAATTGGTAGCAGTTGTAGCAGTCAGATTCTCAGGTTTGTTTTGTATAGTAGCATTTTTCGTACTTTGAATCAGCTAAGTTCTTTTATAGCTTTATAAAAATGCTGTTTTGTCGCTTGCGTATCTTGATTGGTGCCAGACTCTTCGCAGTCTTCTTTAGCAACTTTTTGCTTGATTTCCAGTGATAAGTTAATGGTTTCCTCTTAACTTCAGGTGTGTTTTCCCAGCAAGCAATCTATATAAGATTGGTGACGTAGTTTGTTGCCTTATCTTTTTCTTCAGAGGTCTTTAAAGAAATGAATATGTTAAGATTTTGTTCCAGATATTCTCTTAAATTATATCAATTCGTATTTTTATTGTACAGCGTTATATTTAGGTTTGTCGTCAAGTATGACGGTTGTGCAAATGGTGAGGATTACCAGAGTGTGGTCTGAATTACTGTCCTGGTAGTCTTCTGCTTTTAAGTAATGCCTTGCTAGACCTTTTGAGATAAAAAAATCTAGCAGGTCAGGTTTTTCTTCAAATCCAATATGTGGGTTTTCCTCTTGATATTTTGTTGAGTGACCGGGTGAGGTTATTTTTTTCTATGCATAGCTGCCTGCCTCTAGTTGTTGTAAGCCTGGATCCCCAATAGATTTTTTGGCGTTCCAGTGTCCACCTGCAACAAATCTACTACTCAGCGTCGAAAAGTACTTTGTGAAAGTATCACAGTTAATAACCTATACTGGAGGACAGTAGGCTGCTGAAAGATTCAAATATCCACAATCTTTCCTCACTGCTTTTTTATGGTCTAGAGTTTATGGCCAGTTCCTTAAAGCCTTTGTTGGAGATCCTCCTTTTTTCTTTGCAGTGTGCTTCTGAGATCAGTACAGAGTCGAGTTTGTGCTCGTTGATCAACAGTTCTAAATCTGTTCTATTTGGAGCTAGACCATTGATATTCCACGTCTTTATGCGAAGACCTATTTTTTGGCCATAGTATTTACTAGCGTGGTTATGATACTCATCAGGGTATTCATTTTTGAAGTATTCATTAGAATTTTTCTGTTTGCTTTATTAAGAGTTTTTCGATTCTGTTGTAGGGATGTATATTTCTTCAATCACGAAGTTGTTTTGAGTGGTATTATCATTGGCTTTAATTTTTAAGTACGTTAGAGTAAAGCTCTTTTGATTTTAATGTTGTCGGTGGTTCTATTGTAAGTTTGGTTCTCGTTGCAACAGATACTGATCTTTTAGGACTTGGTTTGTTTAGTCTAGGCTTTCTGCGAGCTAAAATCTCCTTATACATCACGCAGCCTTTATTTGCTGAGACAGCGTCCTGGCATGGTGCGCATAGTGCAGGTGTGGATCTGTCCTTTTTAGGGCAGTCTGACATTTAGTGATTTTGGGTGCATTTAACGCAACGGTAGGGCTTCACGCAGTAGTTTTTGGAGAGTCCCAGCTGTTGGCATCTGTGACATTATGAGATGGTAGTCCTCTTTGGGATCTTCAACAACAACTATTTGATGGTATATTTTACTGATCTGCTTGAAGTGGGTAATTTATCAGGACTGAACTTGACATTGATAATTTCGCCACTCACTTAATTGCCAGTCTTTTCAATTGCTTCAATAATGGTACTGTGCTACGTCGTGTGATGTAGGTTTTTGATAAACATCCGGTAGCAGCGTTGATCTTTTCTATTAAAGGTATGCCTTATCAGACAATTTTCTCGAACAGCTGTTATACCTTTCTTATTATATACCTTGTTATCTGTAATGCTGATACTAAGCTGATTTTTAGTAACAATTTTAAAGGTGAAACTATCTTTTTCTACTACAGAGCTCATGAGATTGGAAAGCTTGTTAACATCTTCTATACCATATAAAATTATGGGAGGCGCATTGGTAGCTTTTTGCTGCTTTGGTTCAGGTTCACTTTCAGTCAGATCTATGGGTAATACACTGTATTGAATAGAAGTTCTGATTGAATCTACGGGTGTTAACTGTGACTTTGTGAGCTTTTTCCGCTTGTGTTTTCCAATCAAAAGGATGTTGGGTTGTGGCTTCGATATTTTTTTTTCCATTTCTTTTAGCCTTTCAGTCTCAGATTCAAATGTAAGATTTCCGAAAGATGCACTTCTTGATCTCACAAAAAGGCTGGGGTGGAAGGTCTGCTGAACAATTCTTCGCTTTCCAGTAACATTCACTGATACAGATGCCTGGTTACCTATATCTGCACAGGTTTCTGTAACATACTTCACAGCTTGAGGCCCAGGTATCTCACCTCTCTTGCCTTGTAAATTTTCCATAATTCATCAAAATAGCAAATAGCGTTTCCCAGGTGCTGGTCGTTCTTTTAGAGGTGATTTCTACCTCTTGGTTCACGATTACCAGTTTGATGGGTTATTATTTCCAGGGCCCATTACGTGGCGTTGCTGCTCGTTTAGCACCACCCGGGGGCCACGTGTAAGGCCTAGGAGAAGGTGGTAAATCCTACGGATGCGAGCAACATCATCCCCCATATGCACGTGTTTTGACGGCAAAGCTAGTATCGCTGAGCGAGTATTATCTTTGATAGCTCTTGTTGCTCAGCGACAAATTAGTGAAGCGAGTTCTCACCGACAATTCTAAAAGAAGTCTAGCTCGAGTGGCATCGCTAGATAGAAACATATTTATGAAGTGCTTGTCAAAATCACGTGACATCATTCTCTCAAAGAATCTCTATCTCAAAATTGCTATTTCAAAGAAATTGACTGACTAAAATGTCTGTGTGCGGCCGATATAAAGGAATTATGAAAATTTTGGATATGTTGAAAATTTAAAGTTATTCGTCTCAATGTAATTTGATTACGTCGATTACGATCATCTTTTCTATGATAATTTATTTAAAGAACAGGGAGGAGCCACTGTGCATAGTGTTTAATGCATTCGGTTATGCGATTGTGAAAGTTATGCAACATTTACAATGGCCAGTCATGGGATGGGTGACCAAAACCATATTACGTGATAATATAATTTGGGTCACCGTCCTCTTTGTGCTTTTGAAAACACGTCAAATCGTTGATCCCGGCTGCATATGCAGTCGTTAGCAGTTACTAAAAACCACTTTTAGAGTTGCTGCTAAAAGTGGAGTGGAGCCTGCGTGGTATATCATGCATGACCCAAGGAGTTGGGACCTAATTTTGCCGACCTTAAGAATTGTTTTTCATTTCGCCTTGCAAAGATAACCGTCGGTAGAAGGGATTCGGTAGACAAAATAACTCCCAATCAATAAGCTTCAACTGGTGTATTTATGGTAGAAATAAAAACAGTAACAAAACAAGGTATAGAAAATATTATTAGAAAAATTCCACGCGGACCAGGCAGCAGACGGGACTCGAAACCCACACCCTCCGCTATCCGGGAGAATGCGAATTAATCCTGGATGATGGATTTTTTCTAGTAATATTTTCTTTAGATTTAAACAGCGAGCAGTTACATGTTTAAAACTTAAAAATTATAACTATAATTGCTATTTCTTCTTTCAAATGTTTAATACTTGTAAAGGTATTCATTTGACGTTGTGGGTTTCCTACAATGCGAATAGATGGCGCTGCCTTCCAGCTTAAGAAAGGCTAGAAGGAATTCGACATGGCCATTAGGGCTGCGGTGTGCGTTCGAGTCCCGTCTGCTGCCTGGTCTGCGTGTATTTTTTCTAATAATATTTTATTTAGATTTAAACATCGAGCAGTTACATGTTTAAAAAATAAAAATTATAAAAACAAGGTATCTTCACTTAAAAACTTGTCGGTGTTCCTAGTAAAACTTTTCTTTAGATTTAAACATATATTATTATTAAAAAAAAAATTGTGCCGATATCCAATAAATCACAATAGGTATCACAAAATAGTTGTTTCTTTTATGAGTTTTTAGCTGGACTGACAATTATGATAAGTTTTTGACAGACTTCACGGATTACTAAATAAACCATTAATGAAGATTTTAAAATTAGCGGTGGCCAAAAAGGTCGAATTTTATTTATTACATACACATGCTAGTTTACAGAAGTGCCCTTCCAACATACTAACAAAGTCAATACAATTATTTTTTTGTTACAAGTTAGAATATGGGATTCAGATTATTATTAAGAATATGGAGGAAATAAACAACAAGAATGGTTGCGGCTATCAGCCTTTACAATAATTAATGGCAATATGCATTTTTTTGCGGTTTTACCTACACACTATAGCGAGACGTTAGTTATTTGAGGGATAATAAATTACATTCTTTTGTTTCAGATCGCAGGTGCGATAGCGTGATGCATACGATACCGAACACTCTAATCGGACATAAATATGAAGATGACGATGAAAATGAAGAAGGAGTTTATGATACAGTAGAGCATAGACAAACGAATATAGACCTCCTGCCGCGTGGACCGTCACGCGACTTTGTCGAACGAATTTGATCAACGCTAGTTTTAGAATAACATGTAGTCGTAAATTGTAATGAAAGGAATTTCAAACCAGATAACGAATAGAAACTACTGATCGAAATTTCATTAACGAACGAAAAAGGATTCTTAGAATCAACATATCAGTGTTTTATGCATTGCATGAATTTAAATAGTTTTGAAAAGTTTACGAATCATACATCATCTCTAGTATTGTGTCGTACAAACTGGTACTATAAGAAGAGTAAGCTTCGTATGAAAGAAATAATACATAGTACTTAACAAATTTAGTCATGTTATATAGTAGAAACGAAATTCTAAATTTGTACAAAGTCCGCGATATAGTATAGTTTTAGATAACCTTGAAACAAATTGTGAAGATTATGAAAATTATAGTTACAGAGCTTATAGGTTTGCAGTTTTTAAGCTCAACAGTCTTACAAATAAGTATTAGTATTAATTAAATACAAAAGCAGTCGCCTGATTAATTATTTAAAGTATTTTTTTTAAATATATAAATATGTATTCTTAATAACGTTAACAATGAAATTGAGGGTGTCAGTGTTTTTGCTACGTATTGGAAGTATTTCATTGTTGTGCCGTTATTATGTTATAATAAATAAATAATTATACAAAACAAAACACATTATGCTCAAGAAAATAAAACCATTCAACTATTAATTCATGTAGTGAATACATAATTCTTTTTTGGTAAAAATGGACGAGTTGATAATGTAATGATATCTGTTATTATATTATTGTGCTATGTGTATCTGGGACCATTGAGACGTATTTTTTGTATAGAAAATACCAGTTCTACACCAACTTGTAATTTAAGACATATTTTGAAATTAAATACTTAGTCATCGAAGTTGTTACAAAAGATGTTGGCAAAATAAATTAAGTTCACACAAGGTTTAGTTTTCTAATTATTCTTACATTTGAAATGAATTTTCTGCGTCATCTAACTACTGTGATAATATGGGATGATATTTTTGTTGCTTTTATTTCAATATAATTTATTTCTTAGAATCACATCTTACATGTGCTATTCATTCAGACTATAGCCTATAAGGTCCCAATCGAAATATTCATTTTCGTTATATTCCATGAATTAAATAAAATAAATATTTCCAACACTCACACCAATTAGCCTAGCTCCAAAGTAAGCACTGTAAGGATTGTGTTATGGGATACTAGGGTAAAGGATTGAATACATAAATACAGTACATATATAAGTATATTTATATAGAAATACATATTAAACATCCATGACTGGAGTACAAATGCTCGAATTCATCCCACAAACATCTGCCCCCAAGGGGTTCGAACTCGAGACCTCTCGAGTTGGCGATACCATGAAACCCGGCGTACAAACCACTCGACCACGGAGGTCGTCAAAATTATTTTTAATCTTTCTTGAACATCGAATTTTTTGCCCCCATATGTAAATTCAATTTGTTTAAGTATTATTATCGTCAAATCAGCCTTTAGTGTCCCTACTGCTGGAATGAATGCATAGAGATTTGGCCATGCTCCTTGTGAGATAGATAAGAAGCGTATTGAACAGGTCAAAAATGGTAATCGTGCCAGTAATCTGGTCTCTGCACCACCTGAGAGGGATAAGTAAAACCTAAGCCTAATCCAAAATGAGTATATCCTGGTGCTAAGTGACCTTCCCTGTCACGGCACCAACTCTAAAGGATATTTAGTGCCTTATGGGATTCTCTAAAATGAATAAGAAAGGCGTGTGACACTTTCTAATAAGAATAAGCGAATATGCCCCTATGTACCCATCCAAATAGATGTCCTGGTTTGTGTCTATCTGAGATAAATGAAGTGATTCCATCGCCTCAATGTCGTAGTCTTAATAATGTAAATCATGATCGTCTAGTTATTAATTTAAAGTTCCTGCGTAATCAATACCAATGTATCAAAAATATAAAGAACTCTACGTTGTGTTTGTTATGAAAGTGCTGATATTCAAAACTCCTTTTAATACTTATAAGCTTCCAAGAATTTGGTTCCAAAAGACTGCTGCCGCCGGTAGGTTACTATTTTGATGATTTAGGTATTTACTTTCTTATGGCAATTAATTATAGAGTCTCTAATTGTTCGCGAACTGTTCGCATGAGTTTTATAGGAGACAAAAACCAGTACATGGCCTATGGTAAGCAACCGTTCAGGCTGGTGTTAGCATAGCATAAACAGTCAAGACAATGTATATCATTTATTCAAGCGCCATAAACTGACGTATAATGCAATAGACGACCTCCGTGGCTGAGTGGTTTGAACGCCGGGTTTCATGGTGTCGCCGACTCGAGAGGTCCCGGGTTCGAATCCCGGTGGGGGCAGATGTTTGTGTGATGAATACGAGCATTTGTACTCCAGTCATGTATGTTTTATATGTATTTATATATAAATATACTTATATATGTACAGTATATGTATTCTATCCGTTACCCTAGCATCCCATAATACAAGCCTTTATAGTTCTTAGTTTGGGGCTAGGCTAATTGGTGTGTGTTGGAAATATTTATTTATTTATTTCTATATGTTTTATTGCGTGCACTCATTTATGTTTCATTTTATATATTTCCCCATTTATCATCATCATCATCAGCCTATTAATGTCCCCACTGCTGGCGCACAGGCCTTCCCTATGGATGGATTAGGGAGATTGGGCCATGACCCACCACGCGGGCCCAGTGCGGGTTGGTGGGTGCTAACGACTGCAGATGCAACCGACTTAACGTGCCTTCCGAAGCACTGAGGAGTTCGAGCTAGTAAATTTTTGGTCACCCATCCAATGAGCGACCACTGCGAAAGTTGCTTAACTTCAACGACCGCAGCCGAACGCACTAACCACTGGCGCCATCGAGCTCCTCCCGTTTATATTTCCCCATTTATCTAGCACTTAATTTTTTTACATATGCTTTTTTATATTTTTAATTTTATTTTTATATCTTTTTGAAATATTGCATATTCCTTTTCATCATTGAGGTAACATCAGGTAACATACACTGCCCCAACCCGTTTTTCAGACGTCCTTACTTACTAAAATAGGAACACAAACACTATTGCCAATTACCAACGCCAAAAGGGTTTTATGATGGAATATTGAATGGAAGAATTAATGATATATTATTACTTTTAATATCTTTACCAAGATTTTAACTTTATCTAGACTAAACTCTTCGATGAGGACGAACTTGGTTTAATCGAGGGTAGATTTGTATCAACCCCAAAATTAATTATAAAGGTGTAGAGGAAAACCGATCTGCCTAAAGCTAAAACCTCTACTTTGGGTTAATTAAAACTAATCTAATATTATTTAACAAAGAAATTGGAGAAATTATAATTTTAGAACCATCAATATATTGTACAAAGCTGGAAAAATTACATTTTAATTACTGACATTGTGGGTTTCCTACAATGAGAAGAGATGGCGCTGCCTTGCTTAGGATGAATGATGAAGAAAATTTCGACGCGGCCATCAGGGCCATGGTAGCGTAATTGGTCAGTGCATTCGCCCGGATTGCGAAGGGTGAGGGTTCGAATCCCGTCTGCTGCCTGATATACATTATCTTGACTGTTTATGCTATGCTAACACCGCACCGGCCTGAAGGGTCGCTTACCACAGGACATGTACTGGTTTTTGTCTCCTATAAAACTCATGCGGACAGTTCGCAAACAATTCACACTCGATTATTAATTGCCATAAGGAAGTAAATACCTAAATCACCAAAATAGTAACCTACCGGCGGCAGCAGACTTTTGGAACCAGATTCTTGGAAGCTTATAAGTATTAAAAGGAGTTTTGAATATCAGCACTTTCATAACAAATACAACGTAGAGTTCTTTATATTTTTGATACATTGGTATTGATTACGCAGGAACTTTAAATTAATAACTAGACGATCACGATTTTCATTATTAAGACTACGACACTGAGGCGATGGAATCACTTCATTTATCTCAGATAGACACAAACCAGGACATCTATTTGGATGGGTGCATAAAGAGGTAACGCGGCGGTGACAGCAGCGCCCGTTACCGTTGAGTCGTGGATTTGCAGTTCACCCACATAGTAAGAAATACTATGCCTGAACACTAGGTCTTAAAATGCTACGCCATATCACTTTTAATAAAATTTTGTACATTACATATAACAAAGATTATTTAAAATGATATTAAGTGCGTTCTTCGACCTCGCAACTCTCCACCCCGAAAGCTTGTTCTCCACCCCAAATCTCGTACTTCCGCTCTCGTCACCCCCTTTTTGTTTGTCCCCACGTCCATATTGAAAATAACATTCTTTGGTCATAGGTTTGTCATTATTTTGTCACCGCCCAATCTGAAAATTAATTAACTTTAATTTTGACTCCAATTTGTTTTGCGTTACGTGTGACCTTCCTTTACCTGTAGGATCAATTGTGTTTTACGCCCCCATCTTTTTTTTTATTTGACTAAAGCTTGTGAAACATTTTTTTGTTGTTCAGTTTCTAAAAGAAGAGTTTGCACAAATGTTGTATTTTTTAATCGCTATTCGAAAGGCGTCACGGCTACTTGTCTATCTTTATTACTTTCAGGTGTTTTTAAAATGAGATGCTTTTCAAATGTCTGAAATAATAGATCTTAAATTAGTTTATTGCTTACGATTTTTTATGTCGAACCACACTTCGTATTTTTGTTGGTTCGCTTCTTTTGTATTCGTTGGATATTATTTTTGAAGTGAAAACTTCTTTAGCGGCGTTTTACACTTTTTTTTTGTAATGGGTAAAAAATGTTAAACTGGCGTCAGGACACGTGACCTGATCGAAAATTCGTAAGACGGATGGAGAGTAGACAGCCGGCGTGGCGTAGGAGAGGAAGTATCCCCTTCTCTTTCTACGGCGTGGCGAAAATGTATGCATGCGACCGCTGTTTCGTTTAGGCGGCGCAGGGCGCTTGCGCAAATGTTCGTGTGTGTTTATGTTACAGCGTGGCACGCGCATCCATGGATGGTGACAGCTGATGGCTTGACCGCCTGTGTAGTGGTCACACTGCTGTGTATTCGTAAAATTCGTGTTTATAAAGTGTTACTGATAATTAAAGCAATTCGTGCAAAATTATTTCCTAACCATTCCAAAATATCAAAAATGCACAACGTTAATATTCAAGTTTTCACTTCTGCCGGCACTCCCGGAGTGCAACCCGTCGTTTTTTTTTCTGTGAGCTGTTGATTGATATTGATGGCCTAGCGCATGACAGCTCATCCGAATAATATTGAATAATTTTCTAGTTTTGTAAATTATCTGAAGCAAATTATTTTAGTATCTCTTCAGGTTCACCTCACATGGCCAGTGCAGATTCGTGGATGCTTACGACTGCCTATGAAACAGCCTCGATCAACCGATCATTCCGAATTCATTAAGTCATTAAGTTCCTCTATAAAGTATTATTATGTACTACAAAAAATATAATACAAGCAAATGCTTTTAATATTCTGAACAGTTTAAAATTGTATTGATTCAAAATAATTGGTATTACATATAGTTATAGCTATGTTCAAAAAAGTCCCAAAGTCATGGGCACGTTTAATTAATTACACATTGATAACGAGGATTTTTCCAGCAAATAGAATGCTTATGATATCAGTACAGAGTCACAGTCGATTCCATAGAGTCATGGAGTTAAAAACCTTAACAATAGTTTTTTTTGTAGTTTTAATCAACTGTGTATTCTGCGACCTGCGACCTGGCGACCCTGCAGTGTGTCCCTTCACCGATTTGCGACTTCCGAAGTAAGACTAATTGACTTTTTTTAAGACTTTTTTATGTATATATATATATACGTAAAAAAAGATTTAAAATATGTACATATATATACATATTTTAAATCTTAAGAAAAATTACTAGAAAACAACCACTCGGTTCAGGTGTTAGGCTGGATGGAACGCTTTCCGCTATCTGGCCGGATCTACCCCTATCTACCTTTTTTGTAATGTTTAGAAAATCCGTTACGGACCGCCCACCGGGAGAAGTGAGACGGAGATATCTGCGGACTCTTTCCCACCCTCTTCACACAGCCTCTTGAATGAGTGAAGTGACCGAGGCCCTAGCCAGTATAAACCAAACAATACTCCAGCACCTTTCTCCGGCACATATCCCGAGGACCGCAGTCCCAGACATACTTAAAACGGGGCGGACATATATGGTACACGCAGAAGGACTACCCAGTGTATTATTTATAGTTAGAGACCTCATATTCACTCGAAGCTTCTTTGCGAAGATTATAGCAGTCGTAGCAGACATATCAATTCAGAAAGGGATCGACAACATACCATCTCAAGCCGTTCTGTATTCTTTGTATTTAAATACCGACTGCAACGCACAACAACCACTGTGCTAATCGGAATCGTAACGCAATCGCTTCGCCTTGGGATAAGCTCCAGGATGGCATCAGCCGACCTTACTTGTCAGCACGAATTCCATTCCTTGACTCCATGAAATTCAGAGATAATAGAAAAAATGTAGTTTGCCTTTCTAGTAAATCAATAGATGTGAGAGTAATGCAATAAACATATTTGATTACAATGTAAAGGTTGTGAATTCTGAAATTGCATTTTTTATGTCAAAAGTGTGGCAAACAAGCGTATGGCTCGCCTGATGGTAACGGTCATTCTCAGCTGACTCTCTCAATAATCAGATTGAGCATTTTTACAACTTTCGTTATTTTTTTGGGGTTGATTATTTTTTTGGGATTAGTTCCAGCAACTATTTGATAAGAAATGTAATTATATAAACTTAATTTGGTATAACATCAACCCATGACAGACCCTCCATACCCCTAGCCATACCCCCAGGGGTAGGGTGGGACTACCCCTGGGGTTATAACCATACCACCGGCACCGTAGTGCTGTGCGCTATATGCTTTCAGGTTTTGTTTTTCCGAATATTAAGTAGGTACCTGGTGTCAATAGCATCCCATACGACATAGTGTAAATATGTACATATAATTCATTTTTACTTGATTGTTTTCAATAATAATCTTATCGTGTATTTATTTCAAGTATCCTTTTGTCCCTTGCAATAGATAATTTAAGGTTCAACTTCACCTAGCTTAATATTTAGACTTCTTGTACAAGTTGATAAACTGTTTATTGAATGACATTTAGTGCAGTTAGTGCACAACGAAATCACCATTGGGCATGCGTTAGACAAATTAAGAACATAGATTAACATCTTTAAAGTTTTTCTGTTTAAGATAAATAACAAAATAAGTATTTGTTATGTTTAGGTTTTGCCAGAACGGATTTCGGTTTTTTTAATAAACTAAATATTTGTATCTGTCTATCTATTATATATTCTATTTTTCCATAAAATCCCAGCACTACAACGGTGGTATGGTTCAGTCCCACCCTACCCCCAGGGGTATGGCTAGGGGTATGGTGGGTCTGTCATGACATCAACCAAAATATTTTTTCTAAGTTGTTTCCCTAATTTCCATTAGCTGTCCAGTAACCAGAATCACACTTTCTACCTTCGATGGTTCCAAAACATGCTATGACAAAGCATGCTATGCTATTTCAAAATATGCATACCTTACTGTCTTTATATTTTGGAAGAAATATAATAAATTTTGCTGCTAAAAAAATAATATCAGAAACTGATGACAAGTGTATTAATTAAGATATAACGAAAAATATGCTTGTCCTTTCATTTTCCCAATTCCTGTCGCTTGTTAAGAAATTGTGAATACCTCATTATCTAAGTTAATTATACCTATTCATTTCGCATATCAGGAATACGTCAGTAGTGCTACGTCCGTAACCGAAGCGGTTGATGTCTAGTGTTTTTCGCTGTAGCACTAAATAAGAAACTAATTTGTATCCGCATGGTTTACAATTTCTCTAATTTCTGTTCACTTGTTTATTTTAGAAAAAAATACAGGCATAATATAAATTATGCCTGTATTTTTTCTGAAATTATTATGCACAAATGAAACATTGAACTCATCCTTAAAGTATTATTCAAAATGATTAACATATTTTTTATAATTAATAATTAACCTCGTCTTCCTCATTTTCTTCACAACGTGAAGAAAAATATAAAATGTCTAAAAAGTACTGTTTGTTACTATTTTATTCTGATGCAACATAAGAAGTGAATGAATTGATTATCACTGATTAAACTGATGGTATAATGAAAGTACCGAGGATGTTTTTTTGGTTGTTCAACACACCTTTATCTTTTGGCCATTTATATCTGAACAATGATTTTGTAAGTTGATATTTTCCATTTATGTCTTATTAAACAGAAATTCATAATTAGGTGATAAATTCTTTAAAGTACGACACTGCGAATCTAATTTCGCGCCCAAAAGTATATCACTTCATATATCCAAAAGTTCATAATTAATTAATAGTGTTCTGGGTACCATGCCCCAAATTGGAATTTTGGATGACAAATTCTTCTTGTGAATAGGTAAATATATATAAATATTTTAGGGTTAATTTTTAATGATAAGTTTTTAGTGTGATATTGTTGAGACGCAATTAAAGTGCCAAATACAGATATTTAAAAAGCTTTACGTGTTTATCAAGTTTTATTGTCAGTACAAGGAATTTAATGAAAATTAAAAATTGTAACAGAAATTATACGAAGAAGACCTTGTTGTGAGAATAACAGAGCCACCATAGCCTATAGAAAGAAAGAAAGAAACAAAAATAATTCCATTTGAGACAAAAAAAATATAAAATAAAACAATTCAATTTTGTCTTAAATCGGTCCCAACTCAGCATGTGCTAATGTTGCCATCAGCGCTGGTCTTCCGTTGGTACCGGTTTGGTGTCTCACGAAACAATAACAAGAGAAATTTTGAGAGAGAGAGAGAGAGAGAAAATAAATAAATAAAACAAAAAAGAGAAACAACAAGTAATAATAGACGCTTGCGATACGAAAAATATCACTCGCACAGTTGCCTACCGTGACCCAATCCCCTACCCCGTGGAGCCCTAGAACTTTACTCACCGACAGAAACAAAACACTACAAAAAGGTAGTATTATTTTACTGTGTCTTGTGTAAGTGTCGCCGCACACGGGCCACCGACCACAACCACAAAACGCCGCCACCGGCATATTTCTTGTCGTTTTCATAGATTTTATATGGACTCGCCACACTCGATACGCCGGTGGCCGCCACACGCTACAAATCGTCGTTGCTCGCTTCTTGTAGCCCGCACCGGCCACTTAATGCGCCGATACAAAACGCCGCCATACGTCACTCGCGCGATTCCCCACCCCTCTCTCCCTTACCTTAGTCAGCCGCTGTCGCGCGCTTCAGTCACTTTAGTAGCCGCTTCTAGCTTCTCGTGGCGGCGTTTGTGCCTGTGGCGTGTGGCCCGTGTGTGGTCGCCACACACGGGCCACACGCCACAGGCACTAAGGTGGAGGTTACTACCTCAGACGGGCATTCCAATTCGAGTGAAAATCCGCTATGCCCTATAATCTTTCTTTAATATTATTATGGTGTTTATTTCTCTCTGTTCATAAGTACATGCTTTTTTTAAGATATCGTGTTGTCAACGTAACTTATGCATGCGCAGATGGGAAAGTATGCCAACGTACGAAGCAACAAGTAAGTTGATTTACCTTTATAACTATGTGTGTATGTCCCCGCCTATCTCAAAAACTGGCCAAGCGCGAGTCTTTCCTCGCTCTATAAGGGTTCCGTAAAATTATTAGTTTGTTTCGTCACAACTTACAAAGTACATCATTAATCGGCGTTTTCACTATTTGTTGTTAAACTACAGCATATGTGACATCATGTACCAAAATTTCACATTGGTATATAACTTGTTTCGATTATGAGATAGACCCAGTAACAAAATGGTCTAAAATTGACAACTCTGACGGCCCCCCATTTCAAGGTAATTGGAAATAAAAAATAATAAAAATAACATTTATATTCTACTTAGAGCATCGTAACCCTTTTCAATTTTTACAACCAGGCTTTTCGGTAAGAGTAATCAAAACCCAGGTAGACCGGTTTTTTCCAGCTTTTCGATCTATTTGTTATAATTTTTAAAATACAAGAAAATGTGTTCATAAGTCGATTTTCTACAATGAGTACTAAATGTATAAGACGAGGCAGTATTAAAGTTAAAATAAAACATTACAAAAAACAGTTTAAATATTACAAAAAAAAAACTTTACCATCATCATATCAACCGTACGACGACTACTGATCGTTCCTACGCCACTCGCATACAGCGGCTTGCCGCGACCTGTACCGAAGATCTACGTCGGCCTTCCTCGTGCCCATTGAGCGTCGTCCGGTGCCTGGTCGCCATTCAAGAACTTTCCCGCCCCAACTGCCATCGGTTCTCCTCGCTACGTGTCTCCATTGCCACTTCAGCAGAGCAATCATTCGATGCGATATTGGTTGATTTGGTTCTTATACGGATTTCCTCATTTCTGATTCTATCGCGTAGTAATACCAGTATTGCTCTTTCCATTGCCCGCTGCGTGACCTTAAACCTTCTGAAGAGACCCGTAGTGAACGACCACGTTTCGCTTCCATAGGTCATCACTGGCAACGCACAGTGGTCAAAGATTTGTCTTGATCTTGAGACACTGAGGTAGATGCGATGTGGAGATTATACGTTATTTCCCGAACGCTGCTGAACTGAGCTGGATTCGACGAGAGATTTCTTTATCGAAGTTGGACTTACCTAACTGGACTTTTTGTCCCAGTTATAATTATGTAGTGGTCAACAACTTTTGAAGGTTTTCTCATAGTTCACGGGCGCCTATATTACACTCTTCGGTCTTCTGTATGATCTGCCGCAGAGTATGGATGTTGTTTATGGTACTAAAGCCTTTTTGCTCAGCGCGTGACGAACTTTGATACATCTCCTCCATTGCTCCACATTTCACCCCCTGAGATAGGCGCGCGTTCTATATAACATGCATTGCTTGTTTTTTGGTAGGAGAACGTAGCCAGTAGCCAGTAATGTAATAATTATTAAAATTTGTGTTTATTCCCTTTATTATTGCATTCTAAGTGTCTTTTACTATATAAATATTAAAACGAAATGTGTAAACCCGAGTTGTAAAAATTAAACCCAGGTTTTTTGTCATCCTCAAAACCGGGAAAACCCGAGTTTTTCCGGACGGGTAAAATCGGGCTCGATGCCCTAATTCTACTCAACGAGCTTTGGACAATGATGTGTCACATGCTGGAATAAAAAAAAAACAATATATTAAGTCTCCTTTTCATAACTGGGGCAGTTCACGAAAAAATAATTTTTAACTTAATATTCGACTTAGTGCAAGCATTGTACATAAAATGCAAAAAAAAAAACAGTTCAGTAACTCATTCCGTTTACAATCGTATCTTACGTTATCATACTTTTTACCTTTTGACTACTTTATCATCATCAGCCTATTAATGTCCCCACTGCTAGGGCACAGGCCTTCCCTATGGATGGAATAGGGAGATTGGGCCATGACCCACCACGCGGGCCTAGTGCGGATTGGTGGGTGCTAACGACTGCAGATGCAGCCGGGACCAACGGCATAACGTGCCTTCCGAAGCACGGAGGAACTCGAGATAGAAATTTTTGGTCACCCATCCAATGACCAACCACCGCGAAAGTTGCTTAAGTTCAACGATCGCAGCCGAAAGCGCTAACCACTTGCGCCATCGAGCTCCTCTAGTTTGTAGTTTGAGTACTTACGGAACTCTAAAAAGCAATGTAGAATTTAGAATTTGTATTCATCGTTGTAATTTTTAATAATTTATATAGAATGACAGTGTTGCTGTTCTTAAACCTAATAAAGTGTATTACGATTACTTTAGTGTAATTACATGAAAAGAAAGGGGAAGCAAGAAATATCACTAATTACAATATAATTACTTAGTTACAGAATATTGTTGTATAACAAATAATGATTTCATTAATGTAGCTGTACACCCAAACTTCTTCTTGAGCAACGACCATAGACAAGGAAGCTGCGCGGTAGCAATTTCACATACAAAAACTGATACTACGCTAGTTAATTTGTCTGTGGTTTTGCTTAAAAAGTCAGCTGTTTTCTATATATCTTAGTTTTTGAAGGTCATTGCTATTGCTAAGTCTATTTATTAGCAATAGCAATGATTATTGATACATAAATATCGATAGAGAATAACACCTTAAAGTATTCGTATAGAGAATAAGTTGACATTTTAAGGTTTTCGTTTAATCCCAGTCCAGCACAGGAGACGTCACGAATTTTATCTGCCCCACTTTTTATGATTCATTGTTTGTTATCAATATTTTTTATTTGCAGCGCGTGGAAACTACAATGTACATATGTTGTGATAAATATAAGCTTTGTTATGATAAATGCATACTAGAGGACGCGGTCTGCGCTGAATTGGAATGTGTGAACGCAAAATATAATGGAAGTAAAGGTTGCACTTGTGATCCAGGCTTAGAACATCTCAACGAGACTCATTGTGGCCCACCATGCCTTGAGGGGTTTTATAATGACCTTACAACAGCAAAGTTCACATGCAAATCGAAATGTAGAGAACCATGTGTTAACGGAAATTGCACAGATTTTGATAAATGTACTTGCAATCCAGGTTTGGTTAATCTTAACACTACCCACTGTGGTCCCCTATGCCTTGAGGGCTTTTATAATGACCTCACAATAGCTGATTTTACCTGCAAATCTAAATGTAGCGAACCATGTGTTAACGGAAATTGCACAGATTTTGATAAATGTACTTGCAATCCAGGTTTGGTTAATCTTAATACTACCCACTGTGGTCCCTTATGCCTTGAGGGCTTTTATAATGACCTCACAACAGCTGATTTTACCTGCAAATCTAAATGTAGCGAACCATGTGTTAACGGAAATTGCACAGATTTTGATAAATGTACTTGCAATCCAGGTTTGGTTAATCTTAACACTACCCACTGTGGTCCCTTATGCCTTGAGGGCTTTTATAATGACCTCACAACAGCTGATTTTACCTGCAAACCTAAATGTAGCAAACCATGTGTCAACGGATATTGTACAGATTTTGATATATGTACTTGCGACCCAGGCTTGGTTCATCTCAATGATACCCACTGTGGTCCATCATGTCTTGAGGGCTTTTATAATGACCTCTTAACAGTTGATTTTACCTGCAAATCGAAATGTAGCGAACCATGTGTTAACGGAAATTGCACAGATTTTGATAAATGTACTTGCAATCCAGGTTTGGTTAATCTTAACACTACCCACTGTGGTCCCTTATGCCTTGAGGGCTTTTATAATGACCTCACAACAGCTGATTTTACCTGCAAATCGAAATGTAGCGAACCATGTGTTAACGGAAATTGCACAGATTTTGATAAATGTACTTGCAATCCAGGTTTGGTTAATCTTAATACTACCCATTGTGGTCCCTTATGCCTTGAGGGCTTTTATAATGACCTCACAACAGTTGATTTTACCTGCAAATCTAAATGTAGCGAACCATGTGTTAACGGAAATTGCACAGATTTTGATAAATGTACTTGCAATCCAGGTTTGGTTAATCTTAATACTACCCACTGTGGTCCCTTATGCCTTGAGGGCTTTTATAATGACCTCACAACAGCTGATTTTACCTGCAAACCTAAATGTAGCAAACCATGTGTCAACGGAAATTGTACAGACTTTGATATATGTACTTGCGACCCAGACTTGGACCATCTCAATGATTCCCACTGTGGTCCATCATGCATTGAGGGCTTTTATAATGACCTTACAACAGCTGATTTAAACTGTAAATCGAAATGTAGCGAACCATGTGTCAACGGAAATTGCACAGATTTTGATAAATGTACTTGCAATCCAGGTTTGGTTAATCTTAACACTACCCACTGTGGTCCCTTATGCCTTGAGGGCTTTTATAATGACCTCACAACAGCTGATTTTACCTGCAAACCTAAATGTAGCAAACCATGTGTCAACGGATATTGTACAGATTTTGATATATGTACTTGCGACCCAGGCTTGGTTCATCTCAATGATACCCACTGTGGTCCATCATGCCTTGAGGGCTTTTATAATGACCTCTTAACAGTTGATTTTACCTGCAAATCTAAATGTAGCAAACCATGTGTCAATGGAAATTGTGTAGATTTTGATGAATGTACTTGTGACTCAGGCTATAAGCTTATAAATGGTAGCCAGTACGAATGTGAACCAGAATGCGATGCGTGCATAAACGGTGTCTGCGTTGCACCAGATAACTGTAACTGCAACACAGGATATATCAAATATTATAACGAAATATGTGTCCCAGTATGTACCGATCCGTGTATTAATGGTTACTGTGTAGCACCTGATAACTGCAAATGTGTATCTGGATACATCTACGATCAAGACATCAAATCTTGCGTTGCAGCATGCAATGCTTCGTGTATTAATTCAACTTGTGTTGTACCCGATCGATGCGAATGTTGGAGTGGATTTGTCTCCTCGACCGACCCTACCATTTGTATGCCTTACTGCACTACCTGCAGTGACGGAGAATGTATCAAACCTGATGTCTGCCTTTGCAATGAAGGTTTTCAATTGAAAAACGGCACCTGCAAGCCTGTTCCCATGTAGGTATTTTCTTTTGATATATTTTTTTATAGCAAAAATAAGATTTAGCGCTGACTGCTTTGTAGGTTCAGATCGATCCTCTCCCTTCTCCGATGGTGCGAAAGAAGGCGCTCCCATCCCCTGATCCACCTGCGACTCCCATTTTTCATGTAGGAGAAAGGAAACGGGGATTGTTTTGGACCTGAGATTTGCTTTTGATAAGATAACGAAAGTTACCAAAATGATGATAGTACCTGCACGCCTGTTCTAATTTTGTAAAGTTGTTTCTAATTTTTAAACTAGCTCTAAGTAACTAAATATAAGTCACTGTAGATTGCGGTGAAATGAGATCTTTGCCCGAAAAAGAAGGAATCAGAAACTGACACAGATAGATGTGATTTGTTCTTGACTGATCGCCTCGCTTATTATCTCTATCCGTTTTTCGTAAACGGTCATCTTCAGTTGTATATTTTGTACTTTTCTCCTGAAGCATGTTTTTTTTAATATTGTGAAAGAAAAAAAAACTCAAATTTTAAAGAACCAATATATAGCATTATTTCGGTAGACAAGATGTTTCCGAGACTTATTCAATAATTCGTTTGTGATTTCTATATCAAATTGTTTTTATATAATTAACAGCGATGCTGTTTATTTGTATTTCAGAATTGCTGGACTTCCGTGGATTCTTGTTACAGTGACATTAATTGTAGTTCTAATTACTGTCGTAGTCATCTACAAGATTAGAAGTTTGAGAAAGAAGTCCGAGCAGAAAGATACAGGTATAGATTTCTTTTTGTTTTATAATGAGTAAAGGCACGTTAAGCCATTGGTCCCGGCTGCATCTGCAGTCGTTAGCAACCCACCAACCCGCACTGGGTCCGCGTGGTGGGTCATGGCCCAATCTCCCTATTCCATCCATAGGGAAGGCCTGTGCCCCAGCAGTGGGGACATTAATAGGCTGACGATGATGATGATGATGAAACATTGATAGAATTGGAATGTTTACCCAGGATTTTAAAAGACTTGATTTTTCGACACTATAACGTAATGTTGCTTGTAAGCGACAGTTTGCTGCCAAAATAAAGAGAATAAAAAGAACTGATATAGAAGTAACCAGCCTCCACAATTCTCCCGGTGATATTTGGTTGTGATGGATGTGTTAGATTCCGGAATCAGGTTAGCAAACCATTACTATTCTTGTCAGGCAACAAATGTAGTTTAGAAGAAACGCGATACATAAGTATACTCCTGGTATCACATCCATGTTGCTCTACCAAAATTATGTTCATATATTTCACCCCCTCCAATATTTCATTACGCAACAAAATGCAGTCGATGTCTTTCGCTTTCCACACAAAACATTATCAAAATAAGTCCCTGCTCAATTTACTTTTAAACATTCTTATGTTAGTATGGTTGTACTCTAAGAGCATTGGTAACCAATGCTCTAAGGGTTGTACTTAATCAAATAATACAATTATTTAAACATTTCAGATCGGTCATACAACGTGCTGTATTCAGCATCAAACACGAAAAATGATCACGATATTAACAATACTGAAACATTACTTTCACGCGCATCCTCGCAAGATTACATAGAAAAGTTGTAGAAGAGAGAAAATTACGAGTAAGTGACGACTCGGGCACAAAAGGCAGTGGGAATAGACTATATTCCCATAAAATAATGGTGGCAAAGGGCTTATTTATCACTGTGAACTCGAAAAGGATGTCGAAACGTCAAGTGAAGTTTAATAAGAACGCGTATTTGACTCGTATCTATATCTATAAATATATACTGTAAATATTGCTAACAATCACACCAATAAGCCTAACCCCATAGTAACTGTAAGGCCCACTGTAAGGCTTTTGTTATGGCATACTAGGCTAACATATAGAATATATATATATATTAATCTAGAAATACATTTAAACATCCATGTTTTTTTTAAAGATAGGTCCGACAAATGACTCCACCCCATCTGCTGTAAAGTGACGGTGAAGTCCAGATGCGAAGATAGCTGGCACAGCAATTCTACCTGCCACACCAGCCATCCTCACCTTGCCGGCCTTTTTTTTTTTACGCAGGTAAAATATCTTTTTACAGACGACGGCGCCTTAAAGAGGCACACCGCCGAACGGACCTCACACCTGGCTCCCGCAAGTCTTACGGACCCCTCAGTGGCTACCCACCGAGGACCCCGCAACTCTTACGGGCGCTTTACGGTATAATATCCGCTAAAAAAGTCCTGCGAATACCACTATACTGCTTAGTGCGGAGCCTCAGGGTCCCCGTTAGGGATTCTACCACGGCTCCGCCCCCAGCAGCTTCCCGGCCTCGCCGGGGCTCCACGGCAGGGGTCTCCCGCGGTATTACGGAGCCCCGCAGACGTGCGCAGGTAGGCCCGCGCGTGGGGGCTGGGTACGCGGCCTACTGCCCACCATACCGCCCCCCATCCGCTGCGGAGGGGACTCCAGGGCGTATCCGTCCAAGAACCCTCCGCCGCCCCCCCTTTGTAGGACAGAACTACTAGTGGGGAGGCCGCAGTTCCTGGGAGGGGGGAGCGGGAGGGGTAGCGTAAATCTTCCCTTCTCACGTCTTCTCCTAGGAGAAGAGGGGGGAAAGGCAGGCGACAGCATTCGTGGGGGGGGGGGGGTCCGAGCGGCCGAGGCTACTCAGACATCCCCCTCTCTGGGGGCGTCCGTCCGGGCGCCGCCTCAGTGGCCACCCTCTCGGGAGGTTTGCCTTTTGTGACCGGGGGGTCACACCTCCCACTCCCCATGATGTGGCCCGATGGCCGGCCACTCTCTGCGCACACTGCGCAGCGGGGTGGGACAGCGCACAACGCCGCCCTATGCCCCGTCTTCCCACACCTCACCTTGCCGGCCTGCATGTTGCTTCTTCATGCCTCTTTTAAAGGATCCCTGGTTGTAAGAAGGAGGGAAAACGTGAGTTGGCAGAGCATTCCATTAACGGATAGTGCTATAAAGAAATGAGTCACCAAATTAATTTGTACGCATTGGAATTGTGGTCACAGGTAGACGGTGACAACGAAGGCCAGCGTGCGTGGTCCTCTGAAGGAAAGGAGAAAGTGGAATAAGGGAGAATCACGGCGTAATTGAAGAGGCTCGAGGTGTCTAGGCATCGCCTATGATGCGGACCGCGCGCCGCTGTAGCCTATCCAAAGTATCGAGCCATCCCAGAGGTGCGAGCAATATTCCACGCAAGACCGTACCTGCGTCTTTTACAACAAGCACAGTTGCTCGGGCGTGAAAAAGCGCCACACCTTGTTCATGACTCCGAGTTTGCGGAAGGCCGTTATTACCACGCTTTCGATGTAATTCTTTGGATTTAAGTCACAGTGAATTTTCACACCGAGCCTGAGCACCTTAGTACAAATGCTCATATTCATCAAACAAACAATTGCCCCATCGGAATTTGAACCTGAGACCTCTGCGTAGGAAGTCGGTGGTATTGTACACAACAACACATCAAGTTACCACATTGTAACACATCAAGTTACCGCAAATGTTAAATTTTAATCTCGATTCTCACTCAATTATGGATCAAGAAAGTTCATGATCAAAATAGGTTGGATAAAATTTACAGTTTTGGATATCTTTCACGACCTTCGTGGTCGAGTGGTTTGTACGCAGGGTTTCATGGTGTCGCCGACTCGAGAGGTTCTGGGTTTGAATTCCGTTGGGGACAGATGTTTGTGTGATGAATAAGAGCATTTGTACTCCAGTTATGGATGCTCAATATGCATTTCTTAAATACATTTATAAATGTATCAGTGTATGTATTCTATCCGTTACCCTTGTATCTCATATCACAAGCATTACATTGCTTACTTTGGAGCTAGGCTTATTGGTGTGTGTTGTAAAAAAAAATAAAGACAGTTCTTCATTTACTTCAGGGCGGAATTTGAACAGTATAAATTATTATTAGTGTTAGATAGATCAATAATTAAAAACATCTGTAAACTGTTTATGAATAAATGGATTATTATATTAATAAATATTATAATGATAAAGCTTTTATTAAAATAAAGTTTTATTTAAGTAAACTGTTCGTTTCCAGTGCTCTTTTATTTCATAGACAATAAAATTATGGAATGAGCTCCCCTTCACGGTGTTCCATCAGTACTATAACATGGTCCTCTTCAAGAGAGGCTTAAATATAATGTTCCACGAAAGGCAGCGCCATGGCTGTGTCAATGTCATTGCTTAAGTCCATGAGCGACGGTGACCACTTAACATCAGGTGGCCCGACCGCTAATCTGACTTGGAAATCAATAAAAAAATTAGGAATTAATCTTATCTACCATTTCTTTAGTTCAGAGATCCTGGGACCTTGTGCGGACAATGCTGAGATCTAAAATTATACCCATTTTTCTAATAAAATACACCGAATTTCAATTCATTTTCCGGTCAAGCTTATGACGATAATTGACATTGATCGCTCAGGCAGGCCTGTAGATATGCGCAAAGTAACTCCGGAACAAGAATGAAGTTACTCTATATCCTTCCGAAAAAAGATATATATCCAGTTAATATATATTTATCCGCTTAATATATCCGGCCTACTAATTCATTCAATCCTAATCAAATCATGAGGTACCCTTTCACTAAATATTTACCCATATCCACATATGTCTATTAAATCCTGACCAATAAGATTTTTTTAATCCACATCAGATCTTTTACACAAATCTTTTGATTTTCCTTCATAGATACTTAACAGGCTTAGTCAACTGTCAATTAAATATTTATCGTTTTATTATGACTAAACCTAAAGATTTTTTTACCGTTCAACAGAACACACTTTCACCGCTTTACGTACTCATGTCTGTTCTGTAGTTAGTCAGACGGTGATTGGGCGAATGGAGTTGCGAGTTGATTCATGTGATTGTATTGGTTATACTGGATAAGCTAAGAAATTTTAAATGGAATGATTGGGTATATATCCTGGGTCGGACCGTAGATACAGGACTAAAGGCTTAATGTGCCTTCTAAAATACAAAGAAACTCGATGTAACAAATAATTAATGCGCCACTGCACCACCGAGCTCTTCATTATTTTTCTCATTGAAAAATGCAACACGATTGTATAAATGCGGTATGCTAACAAACATTGAATCAATACAAGTTAATAGTTTTAGATCATCAGCAAACAAAGTTAAGTTATACTTCAACGGTAAATACTTCAAACCTTTGGGATACTTGTAAAAGATGAGGTTTTATCTGTACCAACAAAATCTTAAGCAAGAAAAACAAAATCTTTATTGTTACACACTTAATAAAAACAATAACAAGGTAAAAATAAAAACAACAGTACTTGAAAAACAGAAGTTTTAAGAATATTGGGAATTTGGAACAGATTACCAATCAGGACTCTGTCTCAGGTTGATGCTGGTAGTGGTAAAATACATTCCACGCCAAAACAGCTGTAATATTCTGACAGGGCCTATTTATCATTCATAAATTGATTGATTTTTCATATCATCATAAATTGATTTGTCATTCATTAGGTGTTGTGTGCTTATGTTACCAGATCGGTATTTTCAACCTTTTAAAGCTGCTTATGGAGAGCGCGTACCCTAGAATGCTATATATAAGTCGCGGCACGAAACTCTAACGCTGACCGTAAAAATTAAGATGTCTTGGGGGGAAACGAAGTGCGCGGGTGGGCGTGCATAGCGCCGATTGGCTCTCTAGTCGTACCCATGCGCAGCTATCCCCTCCGCGTTTTATTCAGCGCTAGAGTTACTTGCCGCGACCTGTACATACTTGTAGCTACGCGTACCCTTTACTAGTAGCTATGAGTATGGAAATGGCGTTACAAGGCACGCGTATCCGTACGCAGCACAGGTACTCAGCTTTAAGGAGGTAGCGCATAGCGGATTTACTACTCGAATTAAAGCGTCTGACTCGACCTTACGGTGTCTCTGGATGCTGTTGTTTTTCTGTGGGTAAGTAAGGTAAAGGCTTTGGCAGCCCCTTACGCCCCTGGTGTGCATTTGGAGAGGCCTATGTCCAGCAGTGGACTAAGATAGGCTGTTGATGATGATGATGATATGGCGGCCCCTTACCTTAAGAGGGCCATAATGCTAGTTTGCCTCTCTTTTAATTAAAAAAAACTTAAATGCACAATTACATTAATTGGAGAAAGGCGTGTGAGGCGGTTGCTACGTTCCCTAAAATATAGTTGAGCGAAGCGATGGCTGGTTCATGCATCATGCTCTTGAACGGATGCCAAGAGCTGATATGAGTCTGCTCTATAATACTTTATTAGGTATCGGAATGTTATCTAATCACACCTAATATTAAAAACACTATTTGTATTTATACTGTGACGACACAGCAACCGGACTGGTAGAAATTTTGTATTGGCACCGACATGATTTTATGTAAATGTTTTTACTTCTGTTAAATACTGATGAATTTCTTGCGCCCGTTTCCTTCATAAGCTAAAAGAGGCCCTGAATGGGTGATAGGAACAGACCTCTCTTTCCTAGTGGGCACTTTCAGCAAGTGCCCTGGGCCACCCTCAGATCAAATACAAAGTCCCTGGCTCCTGTCCGATCACCGAAGGATAACCAATATTTATTACCAAAAAACTTATATAATTCGAAGAAATCGAGCCTAAATTACTGAGTACAATATCAACTTACTAGATTTTGCATGCGCGAAGCTATTGTAATCTGGTCCAAAAATTAGGATTTCCGACTTCAGCATCTCTATATATAAAACTCAAAGGTGAATGACTGACATAGTGATCTATCAACGCACAGCCCAAACCACTGGACGGATCTGGCTGAAATTTGGCATGCAGGTAGACGTTATGACGTAGGCATCCACTAAGAAAGGATTTTGATCAATTCTACACCCAAGGGGATAAAATAGGGAAAGAAAGTTTGTATAAAACTTTGTCAATTTTAAACCGATCGGGCTGAGACTGCTTGCAGATATAAGAAGAATCATAGATGAATGTCATGTGTATAATACAAGCCTGAGAACAAAAACTGTAGTCTACACTTCAGCTCTACACCGAAGCGAAGCGAGGGCGGGCCGCTAGTGCTTAGATAAATTTAAATATATAATGGTGTCAATTCTGGCGTGATTCTCTAAACTTAAAACTAAATTTAAGGTCAGTCTCACCTTTTCATTCTGTATAGAGAAGGACAAGGATGCACTGTTGTCAAATTTAAGTTTAGCTTTAAAGAATCATGCCAGAATCGATATCAATGGTATACTAAACTATTTTAAAGAAAAATCATCATTACTACACTCATCAGTGTGACTCGCTCGCCCCATATCCTAATATGCCCAGGGCCTCCAATAGGTTAAAGATGGCCCTGGATAGGAAACAATATTGGATGCTTCAAAAGAGCTTTCAATTAATAAAGGACATTGCTCGTTCCCCATACATTGAATGCCCTATAACGCCCAGCAATGAGAAAATGCTAGTTGTGTTCGGAATCATTCATAAACTCTAATTAAGCATTTGTTGAGATACGGACAACTTGAGGAACCGTGGCCCACTACAGAATGTATTAGATTTTGAGGTTATAATTATTATACTTACTCGTAAAAGATGTACACTATATATATTCTGAATAGATTCAGTTTTTACCTCTATGTAAGCACTTAATTGCATTAAATGAACATAAAATGCAATTAATAATAAAAATAATAAATGCTTAATATATTAATATTGATTTATGAGTGTTGTCAGTTGGCACCTATGATACCTATACCTACCTGTAGTAGGTAATAATAGATTTCTTTTCAAATGAAATGTTCAGTCTTTCCATTTACCTGTTTCTATATTTTACTATCGGTAATTAGGTATGTAACTGGTTATCAATATGATTTTCATAAAAATAAACAGATATTACATGGGATGGGAGTATAAACTATCTTTACATAATTTCAGAAATAATCTTTTTATAAATATAATATAAATACTAGCAATAAGTATTATTGACTAAGGTACCTAGTTCTATTTTTATGGTCGCCTATATTGCATTTATTAAGGTAAACAATCTTGGCACAACTTTTTAACAGAATCACCCGTTTAATAATAAAATATTAACGAAGCCAATAAACTAATAAAATAAATCGTTATTATAGACTGAAACCTATTGAATCTAGTTATAAGTTGATTTTTAATTCTGTATTTTCAATAAAAAGGAGTGCCAAGTTGGATGAACAGACTGTAGTATCTAGTAACAGAACTTTTATTTTTAATTTTCTTAAACAGATTGTCCGTTTACAATGATTAATTGCTAATAAGTTAAAAAAATAATAGATAAATAATAGTGAAGGACATTCTTTTGGGCATGCTAGGGCCGATTTCGTCGATGTCCTTTGAATAAAGTATAATTGATTCAATTCCTTTCTATTACGGAATTACCATTGATAAGAACAAAGTTGCACTATCAGCACGTTTGTTCACAGCACATCGAGGGGAATTCCGTATAGTTACTGTGACGGCAGGAAACTAAGCATTGTCGGTTTTGTCCCGTTTTTTATTTCATTACAGATTTTCAGATTTCAGTACAGAGTTGTGGCAACGAATGGGGAAGTTACTTCCTTCGAGTTAGGTGTTTGTGGTCGGGGATTATCGCGCTGGCCGGTTTCATTACACATCGTCGGAAGTCATTTCTTTGTTTCTTAGGTTTTCACGCACACCACGCATTTAAATCGTTGAAGCTTTGTTTTATTTAATTTCTTTATATCATAAACAATATCGGTTATAATGTAACTGTTTCGAATTGTCTTTAGGCTAATAAGAAGAATAGAATTAAAAACGAACTAAGAGTGACAACCATCGTGTTCTTCGCTCGTGCAGAAATCTTACTCTACAAATCTCCACTCATCACACCGGCTTTGGATCCAAATCTTTCACTGTCACTGCCATACGCCTGTGGAATGCTCTACCACTCAACATCCGTAGCTCTAATAATAAGATAGAGTTAAAAAAACTAGTGCGTGAACACTTCTTGACCTGACTACAATCTCTTTTTTTGAAGTTATACTTCTTTAGGAGCGTTATGAAAAAATGATGAGAGTGAAATTTTTAGATGCGCGCGCATCACTGTAACCCAAAAGTAACAGCATGAAGTTGGCCGCGGGCGCGTTATGAAAAAATCATGTGAGTGAAATTTCGAGATGCGCGCGCATCACTGTAACACAATAGTAACACCATGAAGTTGGCCGCGGGCGCGTTATGAATGTTAGTGTCTAATAATGGTGGATTATTAACCACTTAGTGGTTAATAATCCATGAATATATTTATTTATGTATTTTATTTGTGTAGTTTATGTAGGTGTATCAAATTTAGTATAAAATATAATTTTATTTTAATCGCTGTTATTTTCTAAATGTTTTATTACCTATATAGAATTTTGCCCTATCGCCATACCATTTGTCTCTAACACTCGGTCAGGTTGACTGGTAGAGAATGCCTACGGCATTAAGTCCGCCGTTTGCATATGTATGGCAATGAAGTTTAATTAATAAGAGCTGTGTAATTAGTTGCCACAGCATTTTTAAAATACGATATCAAAAAGCATTATCATCATCATCAACCCATGCTCGTCCACTGCTGGACATAGATCTCCCCCAACGCACGCCACTGCTCCCGATATTCTGCCACTCTAATCCAGCTCACTCCAGCCAGCCTACGTAAAAAAATATGGAAATTAATTTATTAATAATAATTCTTAGCCATTGTATTCACGTTAAAACTACTTTAATTATTGATGTGGTATCAATTGCCTATTCTTAGCCTCAATTCTGTACAAATACAAGAAAAATATCGGTATTTGCCATGTGCATTATATTCACGCTGTCGCCAAAATAAACATATGAGAGTAACTATTGTTATGTTTTTAATTTTTTAAGCATTTAAATGCTACATATTTAAATCTTAAGATGCAGCCTAAGTCTAGGAAAAATTCGATACGACCGTCAGGGCCGCGATAGAATAATGGTCTGTATATTCGCCCGGATAGCGAAGGGTGCTGGTTCGAGTCCCGTCTGCTGCCTGGTCCGCGTGAATTTTTTTCTAGTAAACTTTTCTTTAGATTTTAATATGAGAGTACGTTTAAAAAAATCGTGCAGATAACTAATGTATAGTCCTCAGGGCACATACCTTTCTTTTAGAAGAATAGTCACCACGGGGAATGTTGATTTGCGGATGCTAACCGCTGTAGAATCTATACTAATACTAGCTGACCCAGCGAATTTCGTACCGCCTTAAAAATAGGGGCAGGTGGTAGAAGATAAAATTTAGGGTTGTATGTATTTTTAAATACTATATAAAAATATTATTTAATAATATTATATAAAAAAAAATATTGTCTATAAGAACATTCCTCCTAACCTATATGAGACCACTACGTTACAATACCCAATAGTTAAAATTTTGGCGCGAAAGTGCAAAAGCGGGTTTCAGAACAATACGTTACAGGTGGACAATCATTATCACTTAAGGATATGAAAAATAGATAGTAGCCGATTCTCAGGCCCACGGAATATGCATAAAAAATTTCATAAAAATCGGTCAGGCCGTTTCGGAGGAGTATGGTAACTAACATTGTGACACGAGAATTTTATATATAAGATTATAAAGCTTAAGAGTTTGTTTGTTTGGTTAATCTACTTAGGAAAAGCTCAGGAACTACTGATTCAAATTGAAAATTTATTATAGCGTAAGGTAGCCCATTTTTCAAGGAAGGTTATTTATATAGCTTCATAATAAGATTAATAGGAGTGAAGCATCAATGAAAAATGTTGCAAAACGGAAAAATATATTTCTTTTCAGAGCTTTCGTTGCGTGTGCTGCATAAACGGTTAAAGTTACACAAAAATCGTGTATTAAGGAGTTCTCCTTTTATAGTTTTAAAAGAAACTCCGTGATAGCATATTTCTTTTCTTTTAAAGATGACACACTATAATCTTTTTTATGGTACCTAATCTTTGTTCTGAAATAATGCATTATTTGTGAAGATGTTTCTAAGAACATGATATCAATCTTTATCAAAATAAAGACGTTATTCATCACAAGTCACATAATTGGTCAGTGCATTCGTCCGGATTGCGAAGGGTGCGGGTTCGAGTCCCGTCTGCTGCAGTCTTAGTCCTAATTTTTATTATATCCACGCGGTCCAGGATATTTTTTCTAGTTATATTTTCTTTAGATGTAAACATCGTTAAAATATAGTTACATGCTTTAAAATAATAAAAAATATGACTAAGACTGCTCCATCAAGAGTGTACGACTAGGAAGAATTTTGGTACATCCCAGGGCCGTAGCTAGACTTGTATTGAAGATATGGCAGCGGTCATTTCAAGTGGGGCAGTAATATAAGCAAGGGCGTGCCGCCCTTTGCAGCCTGCCGCCGCCCCGTTTAAGGTAGTTCATCGCTCAAACACAAAAAGCAACCAAATATTAAAAAACGAATAGGGAAAGAACACACGCGGAAATGTTTACCGATTTGATCTACATTTGCGTCGATCGATTTGTACATTGATATTATAATCAATTGCATTAGGTACCCAAATAAAAGTTTTATGGTGTCGAATAACGGATAGTGGAATATAATTCATATGTTTTCCTCAAAAGGTATAATACTACCGCTTATACTGGTGTTGTTTGAATATGATTTTAGATACAGATCAATTTTAAATATGAATACATTTATATGAAATAATTGAATTATTATTATCATTTGTACTCCTTCCCCCTTAATATTAATAAACAAGGTTTAAGCTTAGACTACTTACGCCGTCTTTTGTTCATGTCACTCAAATGCCGTTTGTCATTCAATAAACAGAGACAAAACATAGAGTAACTAATCCAAGCTTATTCTTCGTTATAAGGGAGCTTGAGTTCTCAGGTTAGAAGTAACCCGGGTCCTTTAAGGCTTGCGTGGTGATAATAATTTAACAGGCAGAGGCTATAAGCGAAATAATTATGGCGTCCCTGATAGCAAGCTTTACCTACAAGCATATGCTTGTGAAATTAAAACATAAGCTGTGATGACCTTGCATATTCTAACCCCATCATTACTTGTAGAATACTCGGGAGTACTTTGCGAACATTAATTTGTTTCACTCGGTCCACATAATTATAGCTAGCTTTACTGCTTAACTTTAACTAAAATGGGTGTTCCAAAATTCTGTCGATATATAATAATAACCTTTATTTCTCACCATAATCACATTGTTCACAATGTTGGTATTAATGGCTACATAAAAACAATGATATAAAAACATGCATTTTTTTTATCAAAAATAAAAGGTATGTGTTTTTCAGATTATGGTGGGTTGACACCTTTTTTTTGTGTCTGGAAAATGCCTTACGCATCCTTCAACCACTGGGGGAGCGAGAAGAAGGTATGTGGGACTCCTCCCTGTCCTCTTCCGCCAGCCCTGGAGCTCGCTGATTTGAACAGGGCCCTACCTACGCCCTGAACAGGGCCACTAAAAACCAGACAATACTCCTGCACCGTCACCCGACACGCACTATGAGGACCGCGGTCCCCCTAGTGCATGCCGAGAGGGCGGGTGTGGTGGGTTGACACCTATGAAACCTGTGTCTCAGGTAATCAACCCTCTATCCTATTCCTAAAGTTCTCGTTTATTAATAAGGGGAAGGATGTAAATACAGACAGAAAGAATGTAGCTACTTATTTACTTTTAATTATTTTGCGAAATGGTGAAATAATTTATGGATTTTTTTGTACAATAAAAATCATTGTAATGTTTACTAAGAAGTTTTTTAATCAAGTTGATGACTCATCGGATGTATAACAAATTGTCTACTTTGTATGATAGATGTAAGTTGCATTTTTTAACAGCACCATTTATGTCGTTGCGTTATTATTCAGTGACGTGCACGGACAAACAAATCGTCTGTATTGTACAATACATGATTCAATGCTTTTTTTTTAACGATTGCTGTATTCCTGGCTTATTATGATCGTTAACAGTTTAGAGAGTGGTTAAAAATGTGTCGAGGAAGATTTTTCACAATATTATTGTCACTATCGGTAAGATCTATGTTTATTTGTATATTAACTTAAGTTCTTTCTCTATTCCAATAATTTTGATGATGAGGATGATTACTGGATAATGTCATAATATTTTATTACTAATATCACGAGTGCGCTTAATTAGCACTAAAATTTATAAAACACTCTCAATTTCAAACGTTCACATAAGCACATACCATATTTGGGAGATGTTTAATGTTCTGTAGTCACAAAACTAACATATTATTAACTAAAACTAGTTTTTACGGGTTAATGCACGAAACTTTATTTATTTATTGACGTTTCGTAGCCTTTACAGGCTTCGTCGTCAGAATAAAACTTTTATTTAATTTGTCGAGCTACCTTCGAAAGACTTTTATTGAGCGTTTGGTTTTTAAATAATAATAATAATAAATAATTAATAATAATAAATAATAAATATTTCCAACACTCACACCAATTGGCCTAGCCCCAAAGTAAGCACTGTAAGGCTTGTGTTATGGGATGCTAGGGTAACGGATAGAATACATATACTGTACATATATAAGTATATTTATATAGAAATACATATTAAACATCCATGACTGGAGTACAAATGCTCGTATTCATCACACAAACATCTGCCCCCACCGGGATTCGAACCCGGGACCTCTCGAGTCGGCGACACCATGAAACCCGGCGTACGAACCACTCGAAGTTCGATAAAAGTTTTATTCTGACGACGTAGCCTGTAAAGGCTACGAAACGTCAATAAATAAATAAAGTTTCGTGCATTAACCCGTAAAAACTAGTTTTAGTTAATGAGTGATGTGCGTGAAAACCTAAAAAACTAACATATTATGTTTAATGAATATATTCTTTCATTTTTTTATGCATTAAAATAGATCAAATAAGTACTTTTGGGCAAAAATATTATTGAAACTATTTAAGTTTTAAAGTGCGGCACTTAATGACCATTTAATACTTCATTAAGTCACGTAGTGTCTTATTCTATTGCTAGAGATTGCACCAAATTTAAATATACAGAAAAGGCAATCAGTAACATTTCGTCAGAAATCTCTGAGGGTGGCCGTTAAAGATAGAAGGGTGGCAAAACAGTACAATATTGCTCGCTTAATTGTAAACGGTTAGTAAATTCACATATAGGCTACACCTTATTATTACGAACTATGCGTGTTACTTATCAAAACCTCATTTCTAAATTACCTAATGAAAATAAAGAAAAAAGCTCCTCCTACTAATTTTAAAATATATTTATTCATTCACAAGTTATTTCCAATGCATCAGCCAGCCATAAAAATAGTCTTAGAGCTTTGTACCGTGACGAGTGCGTTGTTAATGTTATCCACTATACTTCAGTTTACTTATTATTGTTTAGGAGAGTCTCAAATTGAAAGTTTCTCGTATCTTGAGAGTATTCAACAATTTATGTTTATTCGTAACTAAATTACTAAAGGCCACTGTGTGGCCACTATTTTTCCAGATGGTAGTGACAGCTATTGACGTCAAAAAAACATGCGAGGTTAGGGTGGAACTAAAAGATAGGTAAGTGAATTTATTGGGAAATTTAAATGGTTTTGAGAAACAGATTTAGGTGTTATTAGTTAGTCGACGTAAATATGAAGAACTAAAGACGGCATTATAAATTTCTTGTTGGAGTAGAAGCAAATGATGAAGGACTGACAATAATCTGCAATAGTTAAACTTTATCAATTCCTATACAAATAAAGTTTCTAAAACTTATTTAGGTGTTAATCTATTACTATTGTTTTGGACAACAATCTGAGTTAAGATGTGGCTATTGTAGTGATAACGCTAACTTAAATTTTAAAATTATCTAAAATAGTGATTAAATTTTGAAAAAATACCTTAGCTCGATTATCAAATAGTAATTGAGGTTTTTTATTTGCAGGATGATCAATGTGATAAACAAAGATGAACTATGCTCCTGTCTTATGTAAGTATCTATTGAAAGTCTGTCTGTGTTTCTAAGTGTTTCTTATTTTTTGTATTAAATATTATTATTTGTATCTTTTGTCAAAACAGGTACGAAAAAAGTGCGTCAATAATACATAAGGTAATCTTTATGATAATTAGCATTTCTTAAATTTTATGTGTGCCTTGTTAAGTCGCAATTGATTATTTCTTATATAATCTATCTATCTTATATAATTGATTGACGGATTTAAGTAATGTGAACTATAATTGTTTTAAGGCGAGATACGTATTTTTGATAGATATTGTAAAAAAAATCAATTTTTTTCTAGACACCGGAACCTTGTGAATTAAAAATTGACAATTCTGGAGAGTGAGTATTAAAGACCATAATTTTATAATTTCACAATTAATTTTTGAGTTCTAATATTAAGAATGCTGGCTGAGTATGTATTTATATAATACAATTCTGATATAAACAAAACCTTTTTTAAACAGTTGTAGATAATGAAACGGTATTCGTTTTTAACTGAACTAACTATAATATAGTTAAAGTACAGATTCACAACAGTTTTCAACCCATTATCATTTTGTCTTGTTTGAGTATATTTATATTTTGCAGAAAGTTAGCAATCAGCGCCGACAATATATGTGAATGTGCCGGGTAAGTAAATATTATGATCTATGAATTCTGAAGTACCTAATGATTATGAATAATCAACTAAAAATTTCCTTACTCATTTAAAGGTATCGTATGAGTGACAAGGGAAAAGAAAATACAACTACGTCAGAAACTCATTTAAATGCTACTACAGCTTTTGCTGTTGCTGATTTTGAGTCAACTAAGCACAAAATAGCTACTACAACTGATATACCTATTGTAAAGTTGAAAGAAACTGATGTTACACATTTAGCGGAATCTACTGTATCGAAGAGTGAAATAACCGAAACCAAGTCTTCAGATGCTTCGACAGTAATTATTGTTAAAAGCACTGTCACATCAACTGATGGGGGTACCCGTAAGATATCCACCATATCTAGTGGTCTTGGTACTACGGAAAAAATCGAAGTTTTCGAAACTACAAATACTCCAAAGGATCTAGATTTAATTAAAATCGATAAGTTGAAACGTCACATTACGGAAACTTCTATGATTGTTACTCCCAGTACTACCAAAAACTTAGATGAATTGAATACAACTTTCAGGACAATAACAGATATAATCCCTCTTTTTGTTGAAAGTAAGTCTTCAACAATCCTAACTGATTCTACGAAAAGTATTGACAAAACAACGACAGCTGAAACTGTGGTAACTAATATGACGGATATAACGAATTCAACAATAATTAAATCTCGCCCAACAAGAACCACAACAATATTTTTTCCAAAAGAAGCCATAACTAATTTAAAAGTAAGCAGAAAAACGAATACAGTAGAGTTTTCCACTACAACAAGTACTTCAGATTCTGTAAGAACTAAACACTCGTACGATTTTAGCAATAAGACAAGTACTGCAAAATTGGATGGAAAAGAATCAACTAGTGCTACGAATGTGGATTACACCAGCAAATTACCAATACCCAAGACAACATCAATTTACTTTTTTACTACAGAATTAGAAATAAAGAATATTACTGATAGGAATTTCTCTCTAAGTGATGATTATAAAACACGTAAAGAGCACAAAGAAGATTATCCCACTAAGAAGGATTCTAGTCATACAAGAAGCACCGTCGATATTACCACCTCGGTCGTAAATACTACTCAGACGTTTATTATTAACTCCAATGACGCAGAGTAAGTAGTTTCTGAAATATCTATGTTTTAATGGCAAGATTAAGCCATTTCTTGCCGGATAGCAACTGTTTTTTGAATTTTAGTTAAAATGTATTTTTTTATATCTTATTTTTCAGAAGAATCAAAGAAGACCACAGTATAATCAATATAGTTCTCATTGTAGTTATTTTATGCCTTTTTGTAGTTTTATTATTAGTATGTTTAAAAGTGTTCTTCAAGTACTTCCGAAGTGGCTCTTATGGTAAGATGGCATAACACCTTTACTTTATTATTTATATTAATTCAATTTCATTTTAAATGCATGCATTAGCATTAAATTACCTCTTCGCTTGAGGCATATCTAGAAGACTAAGAGAGATTTAGGGCCTATTTATATTAATTTCTAATTAATTATAAGATACATTGTGAGCCATATTCAACATGCGCCTAGTAGTTAAATTCAAAATTCTTAACGTATAATAAACTAGCGGCCCGCCCTCGCTTCGCTTCGGTGTAGAGCTGAAGTGTAGACTACAGTTTTTGTTCTCAGGCTTGTATTATACACAATGACATTCATCTATGATGATTCTTATACCTGCATGCGAAGTCTCAGCCCGATCGGTTTAAAATTGACAAAGTTTCATACAAACTTTCATTCCCTGTTTTATACCCTCGGGGGTAGAATTGATCAAAATCCTTTCTTAGCGGATGCTTAAGTCATAACATCTACCTGCATGCCAAATTTCAGCCCGATCCGTCCAGTGGTTTGGGCTGTGCGTTGATAGATCACTATGTCAGTCAGTCAGTCATTCACCTTTGAGTTTTATATATAGAAGATAAACAGGGCGATTTTTATTGGTAACTGAAAAAACTAATATTATTTTTTATAGTATCTGTAATAAATTTCTGTTCCAGTGCTACCTCGCTCTGCAGACAGGAACATTGAAATGGAATGTAAAGGATGAAGGATGACCTCTAAGTATTTAATTCAATAACTTAATTGTATTAGCCAAACAAAGAATGAGGCATAAAAATTATCATAATCATAGGTAAAAAACAAAGAAAAAGGTTTTAATATAGTTTACCAAGACTGTAAGAATCAAACGCAATTGAACTTATAAACTTTAGCAGTTGGGGAAAATTCGTAGTATTATTATAGTTGTTAAATAATACTTAGGTATTATTATTAGTAATTATATAAGTATGTGAACGAAAAATTTCAATAAAAACCAACAAAGAGCCTACGCCTTTTATTAAAGAAAATTACAATAGAAAGTATAATTATTGTCTCCGTTAAATAAAAAAAAACAGTATGCTGTACGTTGTTACAAACTCAACCTCATTTATTCAGTCTAGGCTGTGACAAGCTCTTGTGAAAGTCAAACGCTACGCCATCGGTTCGTAAATCTACGGCGGGAGACATTGTACCGAGAAGAACCGGCACGAAACTCAGCAAGGGCTATTTTTTTCTCCCTGTTTTGTTTTGTTTCATACAGAGTCGTTAATTGAAAGATGACATCAAAACCTGAAAACATGTGTTGATGTCAACTTTCATCACATTAATATTTTTAATTAACAATAAGTATAGATAGGTATTTTTTTTTAATTTAGATTGGCGATTAAACAATTTTTAGCCAAATTGGCAAAGTAAAACGACTTAGTCTATTAAATTAACCCTAAAGGCATGGACGTATAAAAAAATCCTTTTTTTATAAGTCCATGCCTAAAGGAATATTTGTTTTGTAAGCACTTAAGATGGGATGTAAATTTGTAATAATAAATTTTAATTGCTTTTGTATCCTACTAAATAACTAAACCCGATATGTATAGCTAATTGCCAGTCAGGGGTTGAATTATTAACCTCCTAAAGTGCGCATCATAGTATATATATATTAAATACTTCCAACACTCGCACCAATTAGCCTAGCCCCAAAGTTAGCACTGTAGGCTCGTGATATGGGATACTAGGGTAACGGATAGAATACATATACTGATTCATACATAAGTATATTTACATAGAAATATACTTTAAACATCTATAAGTAGAGTACAAATGCTCGTATTCTCATAGCACAAACATCTGCCTCCCCCCCCCCCCCCCCCCCCAAACATACAAACTTTTACGTCTATAATAGTAGTAAAAAGAAGTATGTATATCAAAATAAAAACTAATTCTTACAAATACCGAAACATCAAATCGGTACACAAGTGTATAATATGCTCGAACAACAATTCGCGTACAATTTTGTAGTCAGTGAAAAACAAAGCAAAACCACATTAGATTAACACTCGCACTTAAATTGAAATTAGGTATTAATAGAATTATACACCAAACGGATGCTTTGACGTGATTAATTCACTTGACAATGATGTCACATCCTCGTAATATTTAGATTGTACGATGTCGCCGTTCATGGAAAAAATATATGGGACTGCAATCTCAAAATCCCAAAATTTGAAGAGAGATAGCAGATTCCTCGAATGGGATAATCGTGTTTGAGAATCAACTTCTTTTATTTTATAGAAGCCACAGAAAGTGTAAGTGTCGCCGCACACTGGCCACAACAACAAAACGCCACCACCGGCATATTTCTTGTAGTTTTCATACATTTTATATGGACTCGTCACACACGGTACGCCGGTGGCCGCCACACGCTACAAATCGTTGTTGCTCGCTTCTTGTGGCCCGCACCGGCCACTTAATGCGCCGATACAAAACGCGCCGCCACACGTCACTCGCGCGATTTCCCACCCCTCTCTCCCTTGCCTTAGTCGGCCGCTGTCGCGCGCCTCAGCCACTTTAGTAGTCGCTTCTAGCTTCTCGTGGCGGCGTTTGTGGCTGTGGCGAATGGCCCGTGTGCGGCGACACTAAACGCTGCCACACTAAAACAGTCTGACCACCTTTGGTGGTGTCGTGTTTCTGTTAGTGATCGACCTAAGCGGTTCCTTTGTGAGATGCGCCAACTGTTTTTGTATTTATAATGTTTAAAGACCTTTTTAAAGATTTTATTTTCGATTACGGTACTGATGACTCATCCAGCCCTCGCACGCTGTGATTACTTTTTGCTAGGAACTTTGAAAAACAATAAATGTATCGTAAGTTACTTAAAGTCTTAATTATCAGAATACAAAAACTTTCAGTATGCTCGGTTGTTGATTGTCTGAAAAAGAAAGATAATTTTCTAGTATCCAGATCACATACAAAATAAATGTAAACCTTAATCAGGTCTCGATGTATATATAAATGTATTATCATGATTTTTCTATATTTGTTACGAAGAACAGTTTTCTCTACACAGAGTCAGGCACATTGAGCGATAGAGAACTATGCTTAATTGCTCAGCTCAGTGTTTCTCTACGTAATCGATCGATCAGAAATCTGAAAAAGAACTAGAATAACAGAGACAGCTTAATAGATCGCCAAACTGTAGTGGTAATGGGCGGGGCACTTCGTTCGGCTAACCGATGGACGTTGGGGTCCCAAGGTGGTTTAATGGCGACCTCGCACCGGGAACCGCAGTGTCGGTGGACCCATCACTAAGTTAACTAATGATATCAAGAGAGTCGGGGGACCCACTGGATATGGAAAGTGCAGAACCGTTGTGTGTGATCCCTAGAAGAGGCCTATGACTAGCAGTGGACGTCCTTTAGCTGATGATGATGACGAAAAGCTGTTACACAACGTAAAATAATGCAATTATTGATAAAGACATTCGTCTCAAAGACCTTTGGCAGCAGACCTCTTTCACTCAAAGAATTTCTAGTCTAGATGGTACAGACTTGTTACTATGGGTAAGTATTCCTATGTGACACAAGCTCGTGAAATACAAATGACATGCTGTTGTTTCTTAATGGGTATAAGCTAAATTATTGGCAACGCTTAATGCCTTGATCTCGAGATCTATAGATCAAGACTCTAAATTTAAATGTCATATCCTATTTGTTAAACAGTAGCAGTAGTGCAGGATCATGAGAATTTTGAAAAATTTGGAATGAAAAACAATTCCCCTCTCGCCCGGGATGTGAGGGAATACCTGATTGTATTATCTCTGCGTCATGAAATGCTGAAGCTTGTATATATATGAATCTTGTAATGTGGTCACCCTCAGCTCTATCTCATTAATGGTCTCGGTTCGGTCCAGATCATTGTACATTCCGTTTTTAAACAATGTTGATACCACAGAGCCTTGTTATTGGATTTATTTTGATTATTTATTATGTCTACCAAGTTGAAACTCAAATTTGTACGCGAAACAAGCCGTGAGTATATTGCAAATATTTTAATTTCAAAAGATTGACGACTTTTTTGTAATCATAGCGATTCTAGAAGTTCGAATGTCTCACTAAAATATAAATATTTTACTTCTTCTGCATTCATTTTGATTTCCTTCAAACTAACGTATGAAATGCCGAACATCGCTATTTTACTTACTTTGAATGATTGTTTAATGTTATCAGTTCATAAATACATTATAACTGTGGCTATTTCTGATAATAATAAAGTTGCGTCAAAGTTTAATATTTGCATCTTTCAGAGCTAAAATCTGGGAGGGATTTCTGAAATTATCCTTTTTTAACTAGAATGAACTACACGAAGATTGGAATAACATTTTATATTTTTAATTCAAAGCAAACTAAAACACATGAGATTTTGGTGTTAAATTTTAGAACTTAATTTAAAGTGAAGTTTAATAAAAGTAGGGATGTTCAGAAATGTCAGTCCAATGAGTAATAAATAGGAACATCATCACATCACCATACTATCTCCTTCTATTGGTATCGCAAATAAACAGATAGCATAAAATTTAACGTGCCTGTAACATAATAGTCGAATATTATTAAACTCAACTGTATATAAGTGGTTGTAAATTGGATAAAATTCCTAATAAATAAAAATAAAATAAACAATTTGCAGATACACAGTTTCGTACACAGTGAAAAAAAGTCGTACCATTACTGAAGTGTCAAACCCTGAATGTACGACGACGACGTGCAAGAAGATCAGAACTAAAACAGTGTACGATGTAGTAAAACAAACGGTAAGTTTGCAAACAACGCTTACGACTAACAACAACGATTATTAAGTAATACATATTTTAAAATTAAAGGAAATATAGCGGTAATAGAGCGGTGTTAAGCAGAAAGCTTATAACACGGCTTAGCTGAAAATATATAATAAACTAATTTATTCTACGAACTCATGGTAGGTTTTGATTCTGATTGACCCAAAAAAATACCTTAACACCGCTCCACACTAATTACTCTTCCAGTTATTAGTGTGTGCTGCCCAATTTTATAGTTTGATCACTATTCTGCGATTTTCATGAATTTTCAACAAATGACTTCTAAAGCTAATTTCTTTTTCTTTAGGAACAAAAAAACTCTGTTGAAAAGATTTGTTGCCAAGGCTACCAGCAAGACACGTCTTATAAGACTGGACTTCTTTGTAAACCAATCTGTAAACAAGAATGCAAAAACGGACGATGCGCAGCTCCAAATAAATGCCAATGCAACTCAGGATATAAGATGTCCAGCAAGCAAACATGTGATCCAGTTTGTACCAGCGGTTGCCCAAATGGTGTATGTACCAGCCCTAACACTTGCACGTGTAAAGTAGGGTACAAGATGTCGGCCAAGAAGACCTGTGATCCAGTTTGTGCCAGTGGTTGCCTAAATGGTGTATGTACCAGTCCTAACATTTGCACGTGTAAAGCAGGGTACAAGATGTCAGCCAAGAAGACCTGTGATCCAGTTTGTGCCAGTGATTGCCCAAATGGTGTATGTACTAGTTTCAACACTTGCACATGTAAAGCAGGGTACAAGATGTCAGCCAAGAAGACCTGTATTCCAGTTTGTGCCAGTGGTTGCCCAAATGGTTTATGTACCAGTCCCAACACTTGCACATGTAATGCAGGGTATAAGATGTCGGCCAAGAAGACCTGTGATCCAGTTTGTGCCAGTGGTTGCCCAAATGGTGTATGTACCAGTCCCAACACTTGCACATGTAAAGCAGGGTACAAGATGTCGGCCAAGAAGACCTGTGTTCCAGTTTGTGCCAGTGGTTGCCTAAATGGTTTATGTACTAGTCCCAACACTTGCACATGTAAGGCAGGGTATAAGATGTCAGCCAAGAAGACCTGTGATCCAGTTTGTGCCAGTGGTTGCCCAAATGGTGTATGTACTAGTCCCAACACTTGCACATGTAAAGCAGGGTACAAGATGTCAGCCAAGAAGACCTGTATTCCAGTTTGTGCCAGTGGTTGCCCAAATGGTTTATGTACTAGTCCCAACACTTGCACATGTAAGGCAGGGTATAAGATGTCGGCCAAGAAGACCTGTGATCCAGTTTGTGCCAGTGGTTGCCCAAATGGTGTATGTACCAGTCCTAACACTTGCACGTGTAAAGCAGGGTACAAGATGTCAGCCAAGAAGACCTGTGTTCCAGTTTGTGCCAGTGGTTG